GGCGGTGGAGCTGACGCTCGTTGCGGAGGCGCTTGAGGATGGACTGAGCACGCCCGAGGCTGTCGCGCGTGGGTTGGTAAGACAACTGGGAGACCAAACGGCTGAGGCAAGTGGGGCCAGGGAGATGAGTGGACTGGACATACTTTGCCCAGGCTTCGTCTGTTCTCCTCTGTCGGAGGAGAGACAGAAGCTCTTGGTCATTATGACTCGAATACGCCTGCGCCGTAGAAGCATACAGAGAATAGACATCACCGCCGGTGGAGTCGTTGGAAGTTCCGGTGGAGGCCTGCACGCGATACGGGCGGCGAGTGGGTACACCCGCGGCGGCGAATGGTGGGTTTATCCACTGGAGGGCGGTGGGGTAGTAGGTGAGAGCGAAAGTCGCCGGCGGAGGCAATTGTGATGCACCGGAGGACGCCGGAGGAGGTCCGAGGAGGCTCATATCTGCTCCATGTGGGTGGAGGTGGGGAGAGTCAGAGGAGGAAGAGGTGATTTTGGGTGGAGAAGACAGGAGCTACGTCGACTGCAATTTCAGTGAGAGTCATGTTCGAAAGCTATTTGAGATATTTATGGCAATTGATTAATTACGAAAACAGTCCAAATCCTTTCAACCTATTGAAAAAAATCACCACGCGCCAAAAATTCCAATTTCTCAAAATATACCGGATTTCCCACGATTTTGGGGCGGTGAATTCCACGCGCTATCGATGCGCGTTGGGAGAGTTCCTCGAATTATAGAAACGAAAGTCGTCTCCACTCCAGGCCCTACAAGTCCGTTAAGAAACATTAATGGGCTCATTCGGTCCCGTACCTCTTTTAAATTGAGCCCATTAAACCCAACTGCAGTATCAAAGAGAATTTGAGGAAAAAATTACAAAAAGATTCTCATTTAAAAAAATTTAATTTATAGATATAAAGCTGATACATCCGTCTACCTAAAACACGAGACTCGATGTATTGCCGAACAGATTTTCTAAGAAATTTGGATTCTATTCTATTAATCTAAAAGATTCTTATAAGATGATATCAGTTTTTTTTACGCAAATAACCAAAATAAATCTATTCCAATCATCAGTTCAAAGGAATCACGCGAAATTGAATTTTACGAGAGAGAAAAAATAATCAAATAGACAATTGCATTCGTAAAACTTATTCCACTTCCGTAACAAATCCTTTACTATCGTAATAACCAAACCGAACCAAAATGCTACAATTAAACCAAATATGGAGGGGTAGTTTAGTTTCCAGTAGAGCTTCACGTTTCAGTTCAGATTCGATACGGTTATATTTGAATTCGGTTATTTCGATTATAGAAAACTATAACCATTCGACTTTTATATAAATTTCGGTTCGATTCGATAAAAAATTCATTTTTAAAAAAAAAATTGTCAGTTTTTCGATTATTTTTTTATTCAATTTGGTTCATTTCTGATTTTTTCAAATTTAAAAAAATCATAATCGTTCGATTTTGATAGTTTGATTATGGTTATATCTTATTTGGTTCGGTTCAGTTATTTGGTTAATAAGCGAAATGACCAGCCCTAGTTTCTGGGGAGAAATCATGAAAGAGGAGGGATAAGAGTAAAAGCAATCTGCAAACAAACACCAGCAGGTAAAAAAACACATACATGTTCCAATCTTTTGATTTGATAAATCCATAAATCAAAACAATAACGGAGCAACATGAATCTAAACAATGTCTGATTATCCAATCCCAAAATTCTCTCTCCCCCTAGAAAAAAAGATAGATAAAGAGGGTAGGGTGATGAGAAGAGAAATTGATTACTGACTAACCCCGAGCCACTTGGAGAAGTTATCAAACTCTGCGTAATCACTGTCTGAGATCATTGTCTTGTACCATGCTTTCCCTGCGGCTCTTATAGCTGCCGCCGCCTCCTACGGTTAAGAGAGGCATTGCAACAGGCAAATCGTGTTAGAAGAACTGAGGAGAAATTGATCCTTCCTACCATAATCAGACATCTTGACAAATTCTATGAGACATGACTAAGATTATGTGATTCTTGCTTGTCATGCCAAAATATAAACCAATATCCCATATCCTTCTCCCTGTGTATACCAAGAATCTAACCCAATCATCTCTCAAATACCATTTCTAACATCAAATTTAGATCAAACAGTAAAGTTGTAAACTTCATGAAATGGGTGTCCAATCCAAGCATCAAACTAAATGATATGAGACTGGAACATACCTTGGAGATGGGTTTCCTCTTCTTGTCGAGCTTCTCCTTCTTCGCCTTAACCCTCTGAGCTTCGGCCAACAGAGACATCCTCCTCGCGGTCTTGGCATACGGGTTGAGCTTCAGCATCACGTTCAAATTCTTCAGCGGGTTCTTCTTGAGCACAGCCCTCTTCACATTCTTCTTGATCGGCTTCACCACGCTCTGAACCTCGTCCGAGTTGATGATCCTAGCCAGGTCAGCGTTAACCATCTTCGGACGAGGAAGGACATACCCCTTCTTCTTCTCAGAGGGCTTGTCAAATGATCCATAGATCGACTCGAGCTTCTCGAAAGCCGATTTGGTCCAGATGACGAACCTGCCCAAGTGACCACCAGGAGCAAGCTTGAGCAAGTTCAGTCTCTCCACGTTGCACACATCAATGCCAGGAATGTTCCTAAAGGCCTTCACAAGCTTAGCACCCTCTGTTCCGTACACAATCAGAGGACCTTTGCGGGAGATGTAGCGACGGTTCCTCATCTTACCCTTACCAGGACGGATTCCGAGACTGTCCTTCGCCTTCTCAGCGTCGGCGAAAGCACCGATCTGCTTCAACACCTTGATCGCCGATGAAGTCTTCTCCACGGCCTCGACGGAGTCACTGACCACCAACGGCATCTCCGGCACACTTTCGATCCTGTGCCCACGAGCCATCACCAGCGACGGAATCGCTGTGGCGGCGATGGCCGAGACAATAGCGTACCTCTTCATATTGACATTGACGCGGCGGTGCCATCTGCGCCAAATCTTAGTCGGAGCGAACATCCGACCACCTCGGCACATGTTCCCGAAGGCTCCCTGACCAGCGCGATGAGTACCGCCGCCGGGAACACGAGGGATACGCGACACGGCACGTCCGGTACCCCAAGACTCGGCGGAGGTCTGGTGACCGGCGCGCTTGGAGACAGCGTAAGGCTGACGACTGTTGTTGGAGATTTGGGCGTGGACAAAGTTGACGACGTCGGGACGAACCGGTGCCTTCATGACGTCCGGCAACGGCACGGTGGCGATCTGGTCGGTGTTCATGTCGCCGTCGACATGCTGGACAGTGACGGAAGGACGCGCGGCGGCTACGGCGGCGACCATTTCTGAAGAGGACTTTCTCCTAGGGTTTTTCGCTGATCAGAGAAAAGGCGAAGAGGCCTTAAAAGATAAATTTATAGTGACACGTCTAGGGTTTTCTTTTTTTTTGTGAATTTTGCTGAAGTTCAGTCCAAGCCCATAAAACTTAATTGGGCCGTAAACATGTACAGTCAAAAGCCCAATCAATCTATTTGGTGAACGAGTTATCACTAGTATTCACTAATTTAGATTATTATTTTATTCCTAAATATAACTAACATGAAAGAGTGAATCGTCTTATAAAGATATTTAGAGATCGTTTAAAAAGGGCAACAAGCATGGACAAATTCAAAACCACAAGAAGACAACAGTTACAGATGGGTTTGGGTTAATTAATAATTATAGAGGCAAATCTCTCGATAGAATCCCTTGGGGAGAACAGAAAGGTCTAAGGTGCCCAATAAAAGAACAGGAGAACAAATGTGACAGTAAAGAGCTGTTTCCTCAATCCACAGTCCACGCTATGCTACGGGAGAAATTAGTTCACATCTAGGAAATTACAAAGCACTGGTTCAAGTCTACAAGAGTGGCAACTAGCTTCTTTACCTTTCAGATAATAGACACTGCAGCTCTTCTTCATCAGCCCATGCTTTTATTTCTCGTCAATCCTCATCATCCGAGCTCGCCTCATCTCCGCCGTAATCACTGCTATCGTCGTCTTCCAAAAATGTCGAGCTGCACCGGGCGGACCTGTATCTGCACCCGATGCGGCCCTGGAGGAGCCTTAGGCGCAGGTATCGGCTCCAATGGCGGCAATTCAACCGGATCCCCAGGTTTCCATCCGAGAGGCGGCAAAGGTAAATCCTGTGGGCATAAGCTAAAATTAAAATGTCCTCTAACTTCAACTGAGAAGCAACAGTGGTGCTTACAGAGGATAAAGATTCGTCGCTGTCTTCTTCCTCCTGAGACTCACCTCCCGTTTTGGCTCGCTTCGGCCGGCGATAATCAGAGTAGTCGTCGACGAGCATGTCGAGAACTCGTTCTGCTTCCTTGAGCCTGCTGGCGAATGCGAGGAGGGAAGAATCATTGGATTTGATCTCACGAGCCATCTTCTGCTCCGCCTCCTGGAGATCGAGGATCTCTCGTAGCTCCGTAGCGGCCAAGAAGAGCTGCGTCTGGAGGGAATCGGAGAGCGAGAGGATTTCCTTCGTGGAAGAAGGGTTAGGGTTCTCGAGCGGAGGAGGTGGCAAAGAGCGGGAGGAGAGAAACGACGGGAGAGAGCCGCGGAAGGCGGAGGGCCAGAGGGACCGACTGGGAGAGACATCAAAGAGCTTGGAAGCCAACGACGCCATCCACTGGAGAAGAGACTGAGATCGCGGCAATGGAGGGAGGAGCGAGAGGAGAGCGACAGAGGAGACTGTCGCCGACGGAGCAGCGAGCTGGTGGTGCTGAGATTGAGAGGAGGTAGAATGGAGAGGAAAGGTAGGGTTATGAACGGAGGGAGAAAGAGGGATTGTTAACCCTAATCTCGCCGGAGGTTGATGCTGCAACATCGCCGCTGACCAAAGGGATTTATTGAAGGTCAGTTACGCTTTAAATCTAATGAGGAAACCAGGGAGAGTTGAATATGCAGGCGGAAGAAGACGACAAAGTCCGACGACGGATATCCAAAGCTTTCGAAAACTTTGTCATGTATTTACAAACAAGTCCCTCACAGTTTCTTAACCGTGCACAGTTAGCATACCTTTAACCGGATTTTCCTTTTCCTATTACCAGACTGAACCGTGATCCCCATCCGATTGATTTGAGAGGATCCAACCCAAAACTTATACGATGTTGGGCCCCCTCATTCAAAACATTACAAAATTAGAAAAATATCAATGACATTTATTAAAAAAAAGGGCTTAATTCCAGAAAATACCCAATTTATAATTTTTTTCCACAATAATACCCTAATTTAAAATTTAGCAAATTAATATCCAATTTGCAAAAAAATTTTAAATTGATACCAAAGGTGACAGAATTAATTTTTCCGTCTTGTATGCCACATCACCGAACACGTCAGCGCCACTTGCCATGTCAGATTATGTTATTTTTTAAAAAAATTTCTCAATTTGCATTTTTTCTAAATATATATCCAAATTATAAATTTAACATAAATATACCCCAATTTGTAAAATCTTTCCAAATTTATACCCAAATTTGTAAAAATATTTCCAAATTGATATCTTCATTTGTAAACGTTTCCCAAGTCTAATCTGACCCAACACTCGATCGAGAATTTCGAGTCGAGGTATCAATCGGGCTGGCCTGGCCCGAGCTCGTACTCGACCTGGAGGTTTCGGACTCGGACTGACCCGATTTTTTTGGGTCTATATAATTAAACCCAATGCCCGACCCTATGCATTTTGGGATTGAGTCGGGTCAGGTCGAGCCGGCCCACGATGCCTCTCTTTGTAAATGTTATTTGTTTTTAAATTTCGAGTTTTCGGGCATCTCTTTGTAAATGTTATTTGTTTCTAAATTTCGGGCTTTCGGACCTCGCGGGTCGGCCTGACCTGACCCGACTCGGCTTCAAAATGCATAGGGTCAGGCGTTGGACTTAATTATATGGACCCAAAAAAATCGGGTTGGTCCGAGCTTGAGCCCGAAATCTCCGGGCCGAGTGCGAGTTCGAGCCGGGCCAGCCCGATTGATACCTTGACCCGAAATTTTCGATCGAATGCAGGGTGAGATTAGATTTGGGAAACGTATCAATTTGAAAATATTTTTACAAATTTGGGTATAAATTTGAAAAAAATTTACAAATTAGGATATATTTATGTTAAATTTATAATTTGGGTATATATTTGAAAAAAATGTAAATTGGGATATTAATTTGCTAAATTTTAAATTGGGGTATTATTCAGAAAAAAATTTGGAGATTGGAGTATTTTCCTGGAATTAATCCTTAAAAAAACTGCACACAGAGCAAACAGAAAAGGGCTGATACACGTTACATGGAGTTCACTCACTCGCGGTTTATTGGTATCTTTCCTTTGTTCTCTTCCTGGTTACATGCTTGGTTAGAAATTCATAAGCCCAAAAACAATCAGATGAAGCAACTACAGATAACAAACATGACAGACAGACAGACCAAATAAATACACAACCTAGAAAGAGAGCGGAAGAAGAAATTTTTGTACAGGAGCTTTTCATTCAGATGGGAAACAACAGCCTCTTCTTACTCTTTCCTCTTACCTAAAAGTTACCCTACTCCTGGCTATGCCGCTACAGGGGCTTGCAAGGTCCTGTAATGTGCTGCTCCTTCAACAACAAACCCTACACACAGTCCACAAATTTGCAAAACATTAAGTATGCCTGGTTTCAAGAACCAACCCATTTTCCTTACGATAACAATCTCCAACATCTTTTGTCTTTTTTTTTTCTTAGCAACACATGGGATTATTAACCTTTTCAGCCTGCAAACAACATAATTCCCATGCAAACATTTTACAAGCGAGAGGAGGAAATGCTAGTCCTGACCATTGGGCCAACCATCCAATGACCCGTGCAATTTACAGATATCAGTGAAGGATTCTAACGTTATCGTTGAAGGTACAAGGGAAAGGAAAACAAAAAGACATACTTGATAGACAGTTGTGCGCGATAAGTCCTCAAGACGATACATCGGTTGTCTTGACCATGGATTCTGCGCTACCAGCTACCAACTTGGTGTTCACTTCATATGACAATAGGACCTTCCTCTGCAGCATCAAAGGAGTTGGACTGTCTCTGGTTAGATAAGACATCAATTGCAGGGGCAGTCGATCAACTCTAGAGTTAGAACCTCATGCAATATGCAACCACCATTAATTGCAGGAATCCACGGTTGCCATTTTTTCCCTCTGTTATTTACAGTGATGAAATGTGGAGAAGATTTACGAGAGATACAGTTCGGTGTCATGCAATTCTGCCACCTCAAAGTCATCCTTTGATTAGAGTTATATGCTATTCAGATCTCTAGGGTGCAAATAGCTAGTAATGCAGCACGATAATGATGCCTTGTATAGCCCATGGAATATGAAAATCGTGATAAATTCCAGATTCTGAGAAAGCGAAATCTTAAAAAAGATTTGTTGCCTGAAGTTAACACTTACAACAGGTTCAAAGTCAGGGCTTGACAAGTTAATTGCTAGGTTTCTCATCAACAGTAGAACCTGCAAAACATATATGCAATTAGTGGTGGATACAGAGACATCAAACATGGGCAATGACAAAGACAGGCGACAGTGAGATTAGAATCTGAATCGAGGTTGAAAAACCTGTATTTCGAGATGCTAGAACTGCAAAAAAAAAAAAAAAAAGAAGAAGAAGAAGCGTAACACAAAAACTGGATTTTGAGAAAATTTATAAATTGCATGAATTATGCCAGGAGAAAAACACCGAAAATGCCAGAGTCCAATTGCCAAAATTTTCATTTTCCAGGTTTGCTTGCCCCCGAATCAAAAATCAAAACAAAGTTTTTTCTTCTGAAATCATGGAAGTTTCATTTATGCTACTATCATTGCAGTACTAATTTAAGGAACCCATATACAGACCTCCGGCTGACTGGAAAGAGCACAACATAGGGCATACAGCTGGTGGGAGGGCATAACATTAAAATGCAACTCGTGCGCGCACGTATAGACTATGGATAATGGTCTCCCACCAAGGAACTTTTACTGGTAATATTGTAACTAGCAACAAGCATGCAGTACGCAGAACTGACTCACGGGAAACAACAACCAAAAGCTGATAGCCTGAAGCTGCAAGATCTCACACCTCATTGATAAGAAAATATCTCAGAAAAAACACGCTGTTCAGTCAGAAGCCTAAGCTATAGATATGCTGTCATGCGCATAATTGAATCTGACAGATTCAGGTAATCTGTAACTCACGGTCTCAAAATTTATGGGATCCATTTCCTTGAGTTTTCTCACGTGGCCTTTGGTTTCTGGATCAAAGACACTCCCAATGAAGTTATAAACTTCAGCAAAATCAGGAACACCTGCAAACAATTACAGTATAATATCCACCACAAAACACAGCATGGGCCTACTGGGATGAAAACCACAATTATTAAGATGATTACCGTGAAGCACGGGAGCTTGTTTCCCTTGTATTAGAATCTTAGAACTTGATAGTGTTCTGCTTATGCTTCCCATGCCTGATGCAGAAGGGTTATTAACATTTGGTATGCCCTTTGATCCGGTATCAGCTGAACCAGTAATGTTATTTACTTATTTGCAATAATGAGCACGTGAAAATTCCTCCAAGGTAACTAATCTACTACCAATAGAAAGGAAAAGGATAAAGCATAGATGATCGTGCATGCCTTCAGCTCCACGAAGTGTAGCTAGTTCATCTTGTGGTAAGACAACTCTGGTTGATCCAATGTTTATCAGTGCAGAGGAACCATCCAATGGAGCATACCCAAGAAGAGTGCTACTTGGAGAAGGATAAATTGCATGAATTATGCCAGGAGAAAAACACCGAAAATGCCAGAGTCCAATTGCCAAAATTTTCATTTTCCAGGTTTGCTTGCCCCCGAATCAAAAATCAAAACAAAGTTTTTTCTTCTGAAATCATGGAAGTTTCATTTATGCTACTATCATTGCAGTACTAATTTAAGGAACCCATATACAGACCTCCGGCTGACTGGAAAGAGCACAACATAGGGCATACAGCTGGTGGGAGGGCATAACATTAAAATGCAACTCGTGCGCGCACGTATAGACTATGGATAATGGTCTCCCACCAAGGAACTTTTACTGGTAATATTGTAACTAGCAACAAGCATGCAGTACGCAGAACTGACTCACGGGAAACAACAACCAAAAGCTGATAGCCTGAAGCTGCAAGATCTCACACCTCATTGATAAGAAAATATCTCAGAAAAAACACGCTGTTCAGTCAGAAGCCTAAGCTATAGATATGCTGTCATGCGCATAATTGAATCTGACAGATTCAGGTAATCTGTAACTCACGGTCTCAAAATTTATGGGATCCATTTCCTTGAGTTTTCTCACGTGGCCTTTGGTTTCTGGATCAAAGACACTCCCAATGAAGTTATAAACTTCAGCAAAATCAGGAACACCTGCAAACAATTACAGTATAATATCCACCACAAAACACAGCATGGGCCTACTGGGATGAAAACCACAATTATTAAGATGATTACCGTGAAGCACGGGAGCTTGTTTCCCTTGTATTAGAATCTTAGAACTTGATAGTGTTCTGCTTATGCTTCCCATGCCTGATGCAGAAGGGTTATTAACATTTGGTATGCCCTTTGATCCGGTATCAGCTGAACCAGTAATGTTATTTACTTATTTGCAATAATGAGCACGTGAAAATTCCTCCAAGGTAACTAATCTACTACCAATAGAAAGGAAAAGGATAAAGCATAGATGATCGTGCATGCCTTCAGCTCCACGAAGTGTAGCTAGTTCATCTTGTGGTAAGACAACTCTGGTTGATCCAATGTTTATCAGTGCAGAGGAACCATCCAATGGAGCATACCCAAGAAGAGTGCTACTTGGAGAAGGAAGAGGCGAGGAAACATGGAGCAGCACTTGAGCTGCAAATTTGAGTTAACCTCAGATTATTGAAATGTAATTGTATCTCTCCAACTGAATCAATTACTCTTACTTGTCCAACATCCTAACCATTTTTTGACGCCTTTTGAGGATACGGATGAGCTGCTTTGCGTTTAGGCCTAGGTGGTGGCACATGGGCTACCGTCCCATTTTTCTGGACCTTCAAAAAATATTTTTGGGCATGGCTCCTAATCTGCTTTAAATCAAGGGGGCATAGGAAGGGTAAGAGAGAAACATGCCGAAATAGATCAAACCAAAAGCCAGAGTAGGTATTCTCAAACCTGAATCACAGTCTTTGAACCCACAAAGTCTTCGATTTTTTTCCAGTCACGGTCAAACCTAAAGAACCAAGAAAAAGGCCAGCGAGATGATGTCCTGTTGGAGTACGAATACTTCCAAAAAAAATAAGAATAACGTCTTTCACAACAAAAAGCTGGAACATTTGCTACTATGTGACCAACTACCAAATCTTTCGATTGTTATAACTGGAGAAAAAGTTTATAGTAGTTACTTCTCTCCAGAAGTAGAAAGCGAAAGCCAATTCCTCGATTAAAAAGCTTGTCAACTCAAAACAATCTTATTTTTTGGACTAAAACATCCAATTCTCTAGAATAAGATCTAAACTAAGAAATCAATGGACACTTCAATGCTCGTCCCAAAAAAAACACCATTTAAACATATCCTTCTGAATCATTTCTCACAATGGAGGAAAATTCCAGATAATCAGCTACACAGAATACGCCTACCCAACTAAAACTAAACTGAAGCTCATACGTTACTTCATCCTACTTTGCCTAGACAAGGAATTTCACCATTAGAGCATTTAGGTCGATATAATTCTACGAACCAAACACAATTAGTTCAGAACTAAACTAACCCTAATTATAAATCCTCCTCTTCCTCTACCAAAAAAATGTCAAAATCAAGCAAAGACGGAACTCGAAGAAAACGCAAACAATCACCAATCGTCGCCCGAAATAGGCTAAGAAAACATAAGAAATAAGCAATAAAACCAGAGATTTTACAGTTGAAGCGCTTCGAGAAACTTGTCGTGCTCTTCCTCAGTCCAGCTCTCCCTGGACTTCGTGATCGTGTAAGGTTTCCTCACCTTCTTCGTCGAACCTTCCTCCGCAACGTCCGTGGAAGTCGTCGGCGGTGGTGCTTGACTGGCCGACGGATTCGCAGGCGGCGACGAGTTCATCGGAGTAGAGAGCGTAGAGACAGTTTTTAGAGAGAGATAGGGAAGAGAGAGAAACTGCCGAAATCCACATGGCGGGGAAGCGGGTGATGTAAATATGTGGATCGGGTTCGCTTCGATCCGAGACCATCCAATATTCCTTTTTTTCTATTATTTGTTTTTAAATTGTTGGGTTTAGATTTTATCCCCTGTTATCGGACTACACGTTAATCCGGTGCGGTCGAGCCCATCCATATTTCAATATTTTATTTTCAATTCATGGGATGGATACATAAAATCCCACTCTAAGATTGGCGTGTTTTTTCAACTAGCCACCAAATTTATATTAAAGCTAAACTAAATTAGTAAATTTACAGTTAAAAAAAATATTAAATTTGTTACGCTAAACCTAAACTGTAACAATTTTACATTAAACCCAAAAAAAAAAAAGCCATTCCCTTTCAAATGGAACAAAAATCACAAAATTATAGATGGACACAAGAATCAAATCAAAAAAAAAAAAATCGATGATATTTTGAGTCTCGGCGTCACAAATTTGATTGTATATTTCAAGGCACAATTATAAATATGGATGATGGTTTTTACAAACTTAATTGTCCTAATTGTTGGGTTTCAGAATTGTAAAGATAATTTTTTTTTTATGAAATTGTTTTATCAGTTTCGTGATATTTGTATTGAATTTAGAATATTTTAATTTGAGCTGCTATGTTTTTTTAATTGAATCGAATTTAGATAATTATATTTATACAATTCATATACTGTAAACTGAACCAATTCAAACTAAACAAATTTTTAAACCGATCTTATTACTAATATTTAAAGTTTTGTTGCATTTATGGAATGGATTTAAGAAAAAATAGTTTTTTTTCTAAATGTATTTTGAGATATTTCTCTTAGATTTTATTGGAAAATAAACAGATAAATATAGTGTTGGATCTGTGTTTGCCAAAAGCTACGTTGCATATCTTCGTCTTTGTTTATTGTGTTTCTTCAGTGGGGGACACTTTGAGGACTTATAACCAATAAAAAAAATCCAACTAAATAAATAAATAGTTACTACACTATCGGTCCAAACTTCATATAGCCTCGTTTTATCTTTAGAGTTTGACATGTTAATACAAAAATACAATGAATTTATCATCATACGCCTAGATAAGATTCGTACGTATACATACACATGCACACCCATATTTATATGTACATATTATCGATAATACGTTATCATGTATGTGCGTTATGTGAATTTACGTATACAAGGAAAAAAAGTAAAAATATTGTAATTAATTCCTTCTTATGTCTACATTTGCGTTATCTACGCTATCGATAAATTTGGGTCGATGACTATTGATTTTTAAGGGATAGGTGAAACATATAATCCCTTGAACAATTAATTTCACCCGTTGTGTGTATATATATTGGTGTGGACCACAAACTCACGGCCTATATATATATTCAAGTTCACGTTGGTCCAATCATAGAACATATCAACCCCGAGCATATATATATATACACTAAACAACGTCCTCTTTATCTCTTCTTTATATATACTTAGTTCCCCTTTCTTCTTTTAGCTTCATTTTTTATTTTTTTGCATCTTCTTGAAAATTAAGGGGACAAAAAAAATTTACAGATCAAATGGGTTCTGAGGCGAAATCAAGGAGAAGGGGGACGAGGCTACCGCCTAAAAGAGGCCAAATCAAGCTCAAAATCGTTTTATCCATCGTCAAGTTCGTGACTTGGAAAATGAAAAGAGGTTATGTTGCCAAACAATAATTGGTGATATTGGATTTGAGGTTATATATATATATATGTATATTGTAAGCTTATATAGGGAGGTTTATGTATAATTTATAATGTCGAATTGTGGAATGTCCCATTGTGAATGAGATATGATTTCATATGTTTTGTTGATGGGATCGGAGATTGCAAACAAAAAAAAATCTTCCATATGATGTATGTCTATATGTAAACCCAATTGTGGTCAAGTAAACGCAAGTACATGCATGCATGACTTCTCTCTCTCTCTCTCTATATATATATATATATACACACGACAATGTATACGTGTATATGTGTATATACGTGTGTGTGTCTGGTTTTCTCAACCAGAGATACCATGACGCTATATATGGAATATTAGAGCTTTGCCGTGATGATGTATCTGGTTGAATATATAATCACACCAAAGTTCAGATATACATAAAACACACGCGCACACATGTCCATGGATTGATAGATGTCATCTGACATGCAAGACAGAGCATTGAGTTATATAATATATATATATATAGGCCAATGGATCGACCCACAAAAGTTAACTGTCCAATTCTGACATCTAAAATAGTATTTTCCTTACGATTACAATTATTGCCATATGTGAATAAAAAGTTCGGCACGTCTATCAAATTTCTTGTAAATAAACTAAAAAGTAATAATTACTTTATATCATGAACGCCGTATCTTTTTTAAGAATTTATCTATTGTTGTCGTATAAATGTTTACATTTGTGGGACAATATGTTTTGCTCTTTTACCAAACTCCTAGACTTTTGCGTTCCTACGAATTTGGTCGGAACCAGTTGTCGTTTTCTTTTCCCTTGTGCTGTGAGTGTCTGGTTCTGCGTTTGCGTTCATAACGCGATCTCGGCGTTATCATCATCCCGATAAATGAACCGGACTTGAACCGAACCGGTATAGGTAAACCGGTGTATCTCAATTCAATTATTCCGGTCCGCTTCGGTATTAACTATTAAGGTTTCTGCTAACGGCCGCCTTTCAAACCCAATCCATTGTAAAGTTTGGGGGAAGCGTGTAGTTTTTTAATGCAAATTTGAAAATTGTAAAAATGAAAATGAAAACAATAAAAACCAGAAAAATAAGTTGCGATGATGATCCCAACGGTTGGCGAGGAATGAGGGACCTTGTCATCGTCTTCGGCTCATCCTCATCCTCCGCCATAACCAATCCTCATCACCGCAACAACCACCACCGCTATCGCCCCGCTGCATCATCGGAGCCAAGCCGGAACACTAAATCCAGCTCTTCTCTTGCCAAGTCACCGCCGTCGCTGCCGCAGCACCACTCAGCTGTTCCACCCCCAGCTCCGGTCTCCGCCGCTTGTGCTCGCTCCCTACGCATATCTACCACCGTCGAATGGAATCCGGACGGCTCAGTGGAGTACTACGCCGAACTCGCTTCGAAGCTGGCCGAGGACGGCCGGCTTCAGGACGTCGCGCTTATCGCGGAAACCGTCGGCGCCGTTTCGGGCGCGAACGTCTCGCGTTTCGCGTCGATGCTTGATTTTGATCTTCTAGCGAGAGGAATTTGGTTGAATCTTCAACAAGGGAAGATCGAGTGCGTAATTCAGACATTGCCGAAACTTGAGACGGTAGGGATTCCTCCATTGGATCTTATCGACGAATCTTCTGTGAAATTGATGAGGAAACTGTTTCGAGGAATGGTTAATTCTGGTGAAGTGGAGAAATTCGTTGGTTTAGTGGAGATACTTGCAGGTGATTCTGTTCGTCATCTTGGTATTCCGTACTTTAAGCAGTAATGAGCATGAACAATGATGGACTTGTTGCCTCGATTGACTATTTACTTCTTATTTCAGGTTTCCAATTCAAAATCAAAGAGCTGGTCGATCCGTTTGATATTGTAAATATTTGTGTCGACAATTCCGATCCTGATTTAGCCATTAGGTAGGGCTTATTTATCTTCACGTAATGATAAATGATTCATGGTTTAATGGTCCTATATTTGTTGTCTTCATTTTGGGTACAATCACTAATTCAGCGAAAGATCCCTAAATCTTTACTGGTGTAATGTACATTGCTGAATGTTCTTGCATGTTGGTTAATTCTCATCTTTCCCTGAACCATTGATCATGAGAATGCTGAGTATAATGTGCTAATGATTAAATGACTCTGCAATGCAGATATTCGTGTCTTTTGCCACATTCAGAGATATTGTTCTGTAGAATTATTCATGGATTCGGGAAGAAAGGAGATATGGGCTCTGTAATGGCAACTTATGAAGCCTGCAAACAGATTTTAGTTACTCCTAACATGTACATATACCGGTCAATGATAGATGCTAGTGGTCTCTGTGGTGACTACATGAAATCGAGGTACATATATGAGGTACTGCCTGATTAACCGTGTTGTTAAACATAAAGTAGCCCTTAAATGTTTCATTATGCTGTAGTCTGTCGATTTGTTGCATTCTTGAAGTTGTTGCATGTAATTGTTTTTTTTTTGTCTGCCCTCCTGCATTTCGGATTTGTAACTTAACATTTTTGTGGCAGGATCTTCTCAAACAAAACGTTAAGCCAAATATCTATGTCTTAAACAGTCTAATGAACGTGAATTCCAATGATATTGGATACACACTAGAAATATACAAGAATATGCAGGTATGTTCTTCTCTCTCTCACCCACACACGAATAACCTTTTCACTATCATATTTGAACAGATATGTTCATGTGATAGTTGGAGCATCTTGATAATTTCTTGATTGTTAACCACAGATTTCTATGTTGGTTTATGTTACCCAAAACTTTCAACTTTTGGATTGAGTATTGATTGAGCTTCAAACGTTTCTTTTTGCGAGCAGAAACTTAATGTTGCAGCTGATATGGCATCATATAATATACTTCTGAAAGCATGTTGCCTGGCTGGACGGGTTGATCTTGCCCAAGACATCTACAAAGAAGCGAAGCGAATGGAATCTTCAGGAGTGTTGAAGTTAGATTCCTTTACATATTGTACTATCATAAAGGTGCATATTACCTCACCTGTTCATCAACCAAATCTAGCACCTTGGATATGCCTCTCTATGACTTGTTTCTTTCAATAATGCTTCAAGTTCAGGTCTTTGCAGATGCAAAGTTGTGGAAAATGGCATTAAAAGTCAAAGAAGACATGCAATGCGCAGGGGTAAAACCAAATACTCATACATGGTCTTCGTTAATCAGCGCCTGTGCCAATGCTGGCCTAGTAGAGCAAGCAAATCACTTATTTGAAGAAATGCTTGCTGCTGGATGTGAGCCTAATTCCCAGTGCTTCAACATCCTACTACATGCTTGTGTTGAAGCTCACCAGTATGACCGGGCTTTTCGTCTTTTTCAACTTTGGAAGGGAAGTCCAGACGAGGAAGCTTTACATTCAGATGATATAGTTAGCAATGGCGGTGTTTCCGACCTGAAGAAAATGAACAGGCATGGGATCAGTGTGGTGAATAGAAAATCTGGTTTACCTTATACCCGATGTTCGAAGAGGTTTTTCTTCAAACCCACAACTGCTACTTATAATATACTGTTGAAGGCGTGTGGTACTGATTACTATCGAGGAAAAGAGTTGATGGGTGAGATGAAGAGCCTAGGTCTAGCACCTAATCTTATAACTTGGTCGACTTTGATCAATATGTGTGGTGGTTCAGGCGATGTAGAAGGTGCTATACAGGTTAGCAGCAATTTTTCCCACACAGCAGCTGTAAATTTTCTTTAGTTGCTTGATTTTCTTCTTTCAACCATGAAACACTGATGTATGACTTTAATTCCTTTCCTGAAACATTGCACTAGAACGAAGTTGGAGAGCTTGATTCAATTTGTTAGTTTGTAGATGGTATATACGTCATAACATTTATAGTTGTGAGATGTGGCAGGTTCCTTGATATACATTCTTTTTTCAGCACAGATTTTGAGAACTATGCATGCGGCTGGAATCAAACCTGATGTTGTTGCATACACCACAGCCATCAAGGTATTAGTCTTTATTTGGGTGATGCTGCCAGGTCTCTGCCTTGCCGTTTTCCTGATTCTTCTCTAATTGATCAGGTCAATGTGCTCACATGCCATCCTAATTATTTTTCAGGTTTGTGTGGAAAGTAAAAAACTGAAGCTGGCGTTTTCTCTGTTCGAGGAGATGAGGAGATATCAGATAAAACCAAATTTGGTAGCTCTTTTGGCTGAATAACTTTTTTTTTTCCTTTTCAGACACAAGGTTTCCTTCAAACTAGAATTTGCTTGAGGACTATTTTTTAAACGATAGTAAAGTCACTTGATCGTTGATCCATCAATGCACCTTAGGGCTAATCCTCTGAAATATATTAAAATAGTTTACTATGAGGGGATTTCTTTTTTTAGGAGATGAAAAATTGTACCCTGGTCGATCTCAGCATTTCTCAGTCCAGCAACTGATTTCTCAGGTGACATACAACACACTCCTAAGAGCTCGAAGTAAATATGGTTCTTTACACGAAGTGCGGCAATGCTTAGCCATATATCAAGATATGCGGAAAGCTGGGTAAGGGCAATCTTACTATGTATACAGAAATGACTGTTAAGTTATATGTTGTTTTAGTTCTCTCTGGTTTAATGTGTTGACAAATAACAAGAAGCAACTGCTTTTCCTTTTTCTTTTCTTTTTTTTTTTTGATTTTCTTACAAGCAAGTCTCTACCACAGGTACAAACCTAACGATTACTTTCTCAAGGAACTTATTGAGGAGTGGTGTGAAGGAGTCATACAAGAAGACAGTTATAATCAAGACAAAACAATCAATCAGAGACAAACTAACTTGGGGAGACCTGTAAGTTTACTCATTGAAAGATTATCTGTGCACTTGCAAGAAAGAACAGCCGGGAACCTCGCAATTGACCTTCAAGGACTTACTGAGGTAAAAGCTTTGACATTCAGTTAAAATTCAAAGATCTCTTTGCATTTATAGCCATTAGTCGTATAATTCACTGAAGCACATGCCACAGTTAAAATTCCAATTATCTTTGATGGGCGGTAACTGTTTTAGCTTCACTTATTCATGCAAGTATTTGTGACAGGTTGAGGCCCGGATCGTCGTTCTTGCTGTTCTGCGTATGATCAAAGAAGACTTCATGCGAGGTTGGATTAGATGCACCAATATATCCTCTCCTGTTCATTTGATGCACTGATATTCCTTACTACTGTATACTGCTTATGCATTGTGGGAGAAGAAGAGTATATTGCTATACAACAATAAGCAGTTAAATCCTATTTTTGCAGGTGATGGTGTTATAGATGATGTCTTAATCATCTTAGGAACAGCTGAAGCGATTAGTGATTCAGGAAAGCAAGAGCGTGTTGTGAAAGATGCACTAATTAAGCTCCTAAACAGTGAGTTGGCACTCAAGGTTGTTCCTGCTGGTCGAAAGCATGCACGAGAAACAGGCTTTGATGCTAAAAGTTCGGATGACTCGGATCAATTTTCGGATCTAGAGAATGATAAACCACGGGAAGTCGCATCTTCAACGAGGAGACCTGCAATTCTGCAGCGGTTGCTGGTGACAAAGCAGTCACTGCATCAGTGGTTACAGCGAAAGAGTAGCCGCTCTTGATGGGTAAATTACTCTAATCATATATTTTTTTGGTTGCATGCAAATTGCCACACCCTTCATTCAAAAATTATATGCATGTATTTATACATGCGGTGTAGTTTGAGGACCTATCGGATATAAAGTATCAGTTATCTATCCTGCCCTGTCGTCGGCCGCTTAATAATTCGGCGCACTATCATAGGACATGTTCTTCGATCCGCACCCGTAAACCAGATCTTCAAACCATAATGTTCCACTAAGGCAATCAGCGGAAGTTTCAGCTCCATATTCATTTTCATCGACCACTTCGCCAAACCAAATATAAAAATAACCAAAAGTTTCATTAAAAAAATCATTGTTTTCATTAATAAAATAAAATTTAAATGATATAAAAATAATGAAAATATTGTCACCAACTGGTCGATATGTCCGAGTGGTTAAGGAGACAGACTTGAAATCTGTTGGGCTTCGCCCGCGCAGGTTCGAACCCTGCTGTCGACGATTATAATTTTTTTTTCTTCACTATTAGGCTTCAAAGTGTATTGGGCCTACAAGTCCATTGGTGGCCCATATTCTTGAAATGATCTATTAAGCCCATTGTTGTTATTTTGAAAAATATCTGTTAACGCCGTCTCTACCGCCACAACCTAATGGACGGTCGAGATGAGCCAAGACTTGACGTCCTCGATAACGACGTTTCCTTCCTTCAGTCTCTTGCCGCCACGTGGCCTTCGCAAAGATCTCAGATCTGCCAAGAAGCTTTCAAAAACCCGTTTTTGATTTCGTCCACCTCAGTGATCTCCGCCATCATGCCACGTGGAAATATCAGGATCCGACGTGGCACTTCTGGAACATTCGCAACCTCTAGTTTCTTCCACGTCGGATTTTTTCCTTTCCTCGCCCCCGACAAGGTCCTAATATCTATCTCCGGAAAAAAAATCGGCAATTCATGGTCTTCTCCGATTTCCACTCTCCGAGAAACGCAAAATCCCATGTACGTTACATCTCACTGTGTTTGTCCTGTTTTCCTGCAGCGGAGAAGCCTTGAATTTTGTGTATATTGCTTGCCCTTTTCACTTTGATGTTATTCTGATTTCATGTTTCTCTTACCCCATCGTTGGCTTCTGGATCGGATTTCTGGTCGAATGTGATTGATGTTGCTGTGGGACGTGATTTTTCGCTCTTGGAATTGATTATTTGTAAGATCAATTTCATGTGGAACCAAATATTTTGTTCGGCCTTATTCTGATTTCATTTGTTGGATTTGTTTCATTTCCTGTTTGTAGTTTGTGGTGATTCTACTGAGATGTGCTTGGATTGATTGTTTGAGAATTAAGGCAAGCTTTAAGATTCCTCTGGTCTTGGTTGTTAAATTCTGGATTGGTCGTCTGGTTTATACTGCTCTGGTTTGACATTGATCGAAATTAGGGTTTCTGGTGAGGTTGGGATTTCAGTTAGACGTCCTAGGCATTCAGGTAGTGACAATTCTACTAACGGTTGCCTTGTCTGGGTTTGAGATCCCTACTATCATCTTATCGCGTTGATTTTTTCAGTACCAGAGTATCATACGGAGAGGGACCTTTCTATTTTTGGGAGAAACCGATGTTCATGGCTAATGTTGGTCGACTGATATATACTGAGGTTTTACAGAGTAGAACATGTTTACTTTTGGTGAAAGGTACTTTTGAAGTGTTTCAGAATTAGTCTTAAGCGATGGAATCGTCAGTTTGTAACTAATGTGTCTGTGTTTTTGCTTCTACAGAAGTTCATTTCTTGAGGTTACCCCAGTATTCTATTTGTTGTCTGAATCACAGAAAGGCTAGGGTTGTTCTAAGGTTTGATGTTTCTTGTTGTTTGGTAATTTGAACTCAGCGAAACGGAATTGGTCTAGATGATTGTTGATGGGGACGGAAAGGATTCACGTGGGATAAATCACCAAATGCATGATGAGAAAACGAGAAAAACCACGTGTGATGGGATTGAGAGCCAGACATGGAGACATCATGAAGAAGACAGAGCCAATGGAACCAAAGAGGATGTAAGGGATGTGAGTGGAGGAGGAGGGTCTGTAGGTGGTGGTGGCTCAGCTTCTCTGCAGAACCCTCAGTCTCAGCAGCAGTCAGCTGCAACTGTTTGTTGGGAAAGGTTTCTTCATGTGAGATCCATTAGGGTTCTGCTTGTGGAAAACGATGACTCTACCCGTCATGTGGTCACTGCCCTGCTCCGGAATTGTAGCTATGAAGGTCAGTCCCAAAGTTTTTATATATATATTCGCGGATATTTGACTTTGACTTGACTACTTGCTCACTTTGTATGATCTGATAGTGTTATTACAAAAATGTTCCGTAATGGGTATACCTACAAAAGGGTTGTGAAGCTTAGTTTGGTTGGGTTTGATTATTATACGGTGAACAGATCTTCGATATAAGTACCAAAGGCTTTTGTCCATGTAAACTGTCAAGTATCGTATTGTGAATATTTGCCGAGACTAGGCTTTGTTTATTGCTTGATGTTATAAATAAGCTTATATCTATACTCGTTTAAGAACCCTACTGTACTCCTGTTGGTGCATATAATATATTGATTCTAAATTAACAATTGCCGATTGGAGAAACTTCATATTTTTGCATGTATTGACTGATCAAGTATAGCAACTTTTTTTTACGGTTTCAATGGCTGATTAAAGACCAACTTTGTGGTGGCAGTTGTTGAGGCAGCAAATGGTATACAAGCTTGGAAGATATTAGAAAATCTGAATAATCATATCGATATCGTGTTAACTGAGGTAGTCATGCCTTATTTATCTGGTATTGGTCTCTTGTCCAAGATTCTGAGCCACAAAACACGTCGGAACATCCCTGTTATCAGTAAGTTTTTTTCTTTGCCTCCAACCATTTTACAGTGAGCAGTCCTCTCGCATACTATTACAGATTCACCCATTATTTTCTGGTCACATATTTTCCCATGAGATCTGTGTTGCAGTGATGTCATCTCATGACTCGATGGGATTGGTCTTTAAATGCTTATCGAAAGGTGCTGTTGACTTTCTGGTCAAACCCATAAGAAAAAACGAGCTTAAGAACCTTTGGCAACATGTTTGGAGAAGATGTCATAGTGTAAGTGCCTCGCTTGTATTTATCTGATACAAAAATTTGATATGGTCACACTGAAGATTGGCACCTCGCCATTATTTACACTCTCATTGTTTTTCCTTTTTCATCTTTTCACAGTCTAGCGGGAGCGGAAGTGAAAGCGGAACACAAACTCAAAAGTCGGTGAAATCAAAGAGCGTTGAAAAATCTGATAAGGATTCAGGGAGCAACTATGAGAACGAAAATGGGAGCATTGGCTTGCAACATGTCGGCGATGGAAGCAGTGATGGGAGTGGCACTCAGGTGTGTTCTGCCTTTTAGTAACTTTTTTTTTGTAAACCCGTGAGTTGGTTCCATTTATATGGTACACTCAAAGCTACATAATTTTATATAGGATTTTATATTTATGTGTATGTGTATATATATCACCTTTTTTTTGGCAGAGCTCTTGGACAAAACAGGCAGTAGAAGTCGACAGCCCGAGGCCGGTATCTCCATGGAATAGAGTTGACAGCACATGTGCCCAAGTGATACATTCCAATGCTGAAGCTCCCATTAGTCACTTGGTTGCAGAGAAGGAGCATCAAGAACAGGATGAGAAATTAGGTAAGGAAAAAGTCTTTTCCTTTTCCATCCCTTTTTCAATTATTTAGAGAGAAAAAAAACATAAAAAAACTGATGTGGAACATCTGCAGAGGATGGCACCATGTGTCGAGACTTGGAAATAAGTGTTCGTAGGAACATTGATCAGCAACTTGAGCCAAAAGATGAAGACCCAACCAGAAACACAAGACATGATAATCAAGTTGAAAGGAGCCCTTGTAGTAAACCGATGCATGAAGATGGAAGATCGGATTTCGTCAATAAAGCTAGCCACCTTCAAGATAACAGAGACCCCAAGGCACCGAGCAAAGTGTCTAAAGACACGAGGGAGGCTTCTATGAAAAAGTCTGAAGAATTAATATACACGGAACACGGTCCAAAGAGGCATAGAGGAGTTAAAGATGATGGGACAATGGTAAAGGATGACCGGAATGTTCTGAGGCGTTCCGAAAGTTCAGCCTTCTCGAGGTATGCAGAGTGGTAATTTTGGTTTTCGGCTCGGTTGTATTTGGGTTTCGGTTTTTAATGATAAAAATTCTCATTTTCTAAAGAAATTTTCGGTTTAAGAAAAATCATAACATTTTCTTTATCGGATTTAGTTCATTTACGGTTGTGTGTTATTCGGTTGGATTATATTAAGTTTTAGTTCGGGTCCGTTGTTTGGTGATAAAAGTGTTCATTTTTTAAAGATATGTTTGGTTTTCTTGGGTTATTTTTATATTCCGTTCTGTTTCTGTTTTCAGTTTAAGAAAAATCATGATCATTCGGGCTTTTATATCGGGTTCTGTTCGCTTACGGTTGTGTGTTATTCTGTTCGGTTTATGCATAACCGAACCAAATGCCCAACTTCTAGGTCTTGATTTAAAACATGTTGGATAGGATTACGTCCCTTTGAATGTGTGATATCATGACACTGTTTTGTTTCTATCCACAGGTATAATCCGGCCTCGAATGTCAATAAACCGTCGAGTGGCAATGTCGGAAGCAACTCTCTTCATGACAACAGCCAAGACGTTATGAAAAAGGCTTCAGCTTGCGATTGCAATTCAAACATGAACGATGGACCCTCGAATCATTACACACATGTCCGGGGCAGTAACATCGATATGAGCTCCACGACCGAGAATGCCTTCACAAAGCCGGGAGGAGTTCCAAAGATAAACTCGGCAGTATCTTCATCGTTTCAGACATGTGATCAGACCCATCTTGTCCGAATCGGTCAACAGAAGCTACCCCACTGCGGATCATCAAATGTATACAACGAGGGGGTTGAAGGTAATGCCGTGAATTATAGCGTGAATGGAAGTGTGTCGGGCAGTAACCACGGAAGCAACTGTCCGAACGGAAGCAGCACTGCCGTGAATGTCGGAGGAGTGAATGTGGAAAGCTATAACAATGGTGGGAAGAGCTGAAGTGGTGATGGAAGTGGGAGCGGGAGCGGGAACAGGACAGATGAAAACATGATTTCTCAAAGAGAAGCTGCTCTGACCAAATTCCGACAGAAGAGAAAAGAGAGATGCTTCAGGAAAAAGGTAAACTTAGCTTATCCACACACGTAAATGGCTTTTTCACTACCCAAAAAAAAAAAAGAGATCGTCGTTCAAGGATATTATTGGTTCTTGATTAACACACTCAAAGAAACCCGAAGAAGATGTAGCATAGGAAATGAGTATAGTTCTGCCATTGATTTTGGTCTCAGGTACGATACCAAAGCAGGAAAAGACTAGCGGAACAACGCCCTCGAGTCCGCGGACAGTTTGTTCGGAAATCCGCAGGAGACGAGGATGAGAACACAAGCAAAGCGGAAGACAGCTAACACTTTGAGGAATAGCTCTTTTTTTTTTGGAAGCCACCTTGTTCATGTTCTCTGTATAACATCATCCAATCACCTGTTTGTGGAATTGATTTTTTTTTTTTTTTTGATACCATTGGTGACAGACACCATACTTGCCGCTGTCTTTCTAATCTTGTGGTTTTAGGACAAGGACCTTTAATGACTTTGTCGAGAATGTGGGCTTGTGATCAGATACCCGGTCCTAGGACTAGCAGATATCTTGTCCCATCGCGACCATTCCCCGTTGTTTATCCTCTGGTCTCGTCGCTCACACCGGGCCTTCTCCGATTCGGATATGGATAGATTTAGGTTTTCCTCCGTCGAAATTCGAGTTTGAATCTAAATTTCGATTTCTCGCTATATTTCAATTTGTTCTTTCGAGAATAATATGGTACCAAAAAGATGCTTTTATTTACAAACAGAAAAAACAGCTGTGTTATGCATCATGTTAGTTGCAAATTTATATATCATGAAAATGATGGATTTCTATTTCTGTAATTGATTGAATCTGTTATAATCTTATTATTAATGGGTCAACGGCTTAATAGTTCTGACTTTTTTTCCAAATCCGATGGTAGTTAATGACTGTTACTGCCTTGCACAATTTTAAAAAGAATTTAAAGAAAATAGTGAAAAATAAAATTGAAAAACCCAGCTATGGAGCCGGGATTGGCTATCTTGCATTTCAAAGTTCTCACCTTTCCTCTCTCTCCTCTCTCTCTCTCTCTCTCGCTTTCGACTTTCGAGATAATCGAAGCGATCAGAACGGTGAGAAAATCGAGGATCGTCTGGGAGAGAATAGGCAAGGAACTCATGGGTTGGATCCCGTGTTCTGGAAAATCGAGCGGGAAATCGAAGACAAGGAAGAACAGCGACTTGAAGCTGAATAGGAAGGCTTCCGATCGTGGTGTTTCTGCTTCAGGTATGTTTCTTAGTTCGGATTTGGAACATATGTTGTTGCTCTTCTCTATAACCTGGTTTAGGTACGTGTTTTTGTCCCATTTTGTTGCGTCTTTTGTAGGTTCTGTTCTTCCTTCACTTTGTCCGCTGATTTCGAGTTCGCATTTCGCAACCATCGTTAGGGTTTTCGTTTTTCCAGCGATTCTAGTTGCTTAGGTGTCTTTATTGCGTGATTGTTGCAGGTGACTGCGGGTTGTGGTCAAGTACTGTAGTCTTTGTTGAAGTATCGTTTGTGGCGTTTGCATATTTGTTTCTTGTTTCAGTTATATTCTTTTGTGTGGCTTTTGATGCGTTCTCCATTGAAGATTCGAAGCATATGGCGCAAACATACCCAGGATGTCCTGATGTGTTTCTAGTTTAGTGATTGAATCGTTGATTTTCTTAAGCTCTGGTCGATGCTTTTTCAGAGTGTTGTCTCTGAACTATTAGATGGTTAGTGATTCTTTGTGATCCGTTTTAATATGTACTGAGCTTTTCGCCCTAGCCCTAGTCGATTAGATTCAGTTCTACTCGGATTGTTTTCCCAAACCACATGTTGTCTTCTTGCTGCTGCTGCTTGGTTTCGCTTCTGCTCATTGAAAACTGACGATTCCTCTTTTTTGTTCGTTTCGAAGAGAAATCTAAGACAAAATCCCTGTCAGGTGACAAGAACGCATCCAAAAGCAGAGGGTCTGATCGCATAACAGCACAGACATTTACATTCTCCGAGTTGGCTGCAGCTACTAGAAACTTTAGAAAAGAATGCCTTTTGGGGGAAGGAGGGTTTGGTAGAGTTTACAAAGGACACCTGCAGAGTAGTAGCCAGGTCAGCTGCTTTCCTTTTCATAAATCTTTGTGAGGAATTAAGGGAATGGGTTGAACAGACTTGGTAATGATAGCCTGTTTTGATTATTCAATCTGTAGGTAGTGGCTATCAAGCAACTTGATCATAACGGATTACAAGGAAACAGGGAGTTTCTCGTTGAGGTTCTGATGCTGAGTCTTCTTCACCACCCAAATCTTGTTAATCTAATTGGGTACTGTGCTGATGGAGATCAAAGGCTTCTGGTGTACGAGTACATGCCCCTTGGATCGTTGGAAGATCTTTTACATGGTATGTTTTTTCAAACACCTTTATGGGTGCATATCCATAAGCAGATAAGCTAGAGGAACGCCTCTGAATCCCAAGTTAAGCCTTTTTGGCTCATACCCTTTACGTGTTTAGGACTGTAAACTAAGGAAGTAATGTTATGAAAAAGTAAAGGCCAGATTATGTTATACCAGATTGTTCATAGTTACAACGGCTTCAAACTTCTTCACTTGTAGAGTTACTAGATTGAGAGCAAATCACTTAATTCTAGCTGCACATCTAGGTGTTACATAGTTTTTTTTCCCATAACCCTCCTAGGTTAATTTAATATTTTGAAACATTATTTTTTAACTGGATTCTGGTTCAGATATTTCACCTGGCAAGCAGCCGCTTGATTGGAATACAAGAATGAAAATAGCAGCAGGGGCAGCAAAGGGCTTGGAGCACTTGCATGACAAGACAGTCCCTCCGGTGATATATCGGGATTTGAAATGCTCCAACATTTTACTTGGGGATGGGTTCCACCCGAAGCTATCCGACTTTGGATTGGCCAAACTCGGCCCTGTGGGTGACAAGTCCCATGTCTCAACCAGAGTGATGGGTACCTATGGGTACTGTGCTCCAGAGTATGCCATGACTGGTCAACTAACTCTCAAGTCGGATGTTTATAGCTTTGGAGTCGTCCTTTTGGAGATCATAACAGGCAGGAAAGCCATCGACAATTCACGGGCTGCCGGAGAACAAAATCTGGTTGCATGGGTGAGAATCACAATGAAAAAAGAAAAAGATCTTCTTAGAGCTTTCGCCATAATTCTGAAAAATCTCGATCGTATAATGTGCTGAGATGTTTCAGGCGAGGCCTCTGTTCAAAGACCGGAGAAAATTCTCGCAGATGGCTGATCCAATGCTCCAAGGTCAGTACCCTCCAAGAGGATTGTACCAAGCGCTTGCAGTTGCAGCCATGTGCGTGCAAGAGCAGCCGAATCTCAGACCGCTCATTGCTGATGTCGTCACTGCCCTCTCATACCTCGCGTCACAAAAGTACGATCCCGGGTCTCAGCAAGTCCAGAATTCCCTTTTCGCCCCCGGGACTCCACCTCGGACAAAGCGGGACAAAGACAGGAGGATCTAGAAACAGAAGACGCCTTCCTTGCAAGGGTAATGCTGTTTGATGTTTCCTCTGAAGTTGTTTCTTTGAGATTGTATAGATAGAAAGTGTTCACACGTATAGGGAGAGGATTGTGTTGTGTTGTTGTTATACATGATGTTTTCTGCACATTGTACCAATGCCTTTTTTTTAAAGGTGACAAATGCTTTTGTGTTAAATAGAGTGCTTGGTGCTACTTCTTTCTTTTTCCAATGGCAAAAACGGTAAAAAAACCTTTGATGACTGTCCCGAAAAGTAAAAAATAGAGAAAAGTTTTGGTCAGAGACCCGACCCGATTTAGCGGAAGATCATGATGGACCTCAACTCCGGGATATCAGATCGTGCCTTAGAAATTACCGGCGATAAGGAGGGTGATGTCTCGAAGTTTGAACGTGTTGGCGATCGGAGAAAGTTCCGGCGATATCCAGAAGAAGAATAGTTCCGGAAACTTTTCTTCTCGTCCTTTTCCGATTTGCCGTTTTGGGTTATGGGGAGTTGCTATTTTCGCCTCTGCGTCAAAATTTATGATGGCAAGATTTGAACTTAGTTTGACCACTCGATGCAGGTTTGGAACCACAACTCTTGCGAGTGACTCAGATTCGACCGAGAAAACTGATGAAGAGAAACCCAGGTTACCCCAATTTGGGAAAGATGCCAAAATTGGTTCTGATGAAGAAGAGAAACGTAAAGCCATGGGCATTGATGTTCTTCTCAATGTATGTCATCCCTTTACACTAATGCCATAGCTCATCCTTTGTTAGAAACTTAGAACATCAAATGACACAGAAGAACTCAGCTGTTCAACTCTCTGATTGGGTTTTTGTTCTTCTTCTCTTTTGCAACAGGAGGCAGCTAATTCTACATTGTTAACGTTGATGATCATTCAAGTAAGCACTCTCTTGTATCATTTTCATACAGGGGTACCTGAGAATTCTACATTTCCTTTTTTTTTTCTTGGATCTTGGAGAATTCTTGTTTCTTTAGCGTGATGAATTTCTCACAATTTCATGTTATTTCTTATCTATTGCTCTGCTAACTCTTCAGAATATTGCTCCTTGCCTAAGGGAACTAGTTGTTGCAGGTATAATCCTTCCACGAGGTGGATTGCACCGGGATGCCGCCTTTCATTGACAGCTGGTGAGAAGAACAAGGAGTAGTTCTGATGCAACGGGGCTTGAGATAGACTACAACTACGGTTATGTCATCGTGGAAATGCCTTCTCACTCCATGACCGATCTGCTTCAAGTCCGAGTATCTCATCTCTCTTTTCTTTGCCGCTTCCTTCAACGCCGCTTTGATCAGTCTTCTTGCTATTCCCTGTGTCAGTTGAAATGCCAATAAAATTTATCTTATAGGACTGACCTTGTGAGATGCAGATACTCCATTGAAGATGGATTGGGATATCAAACTTACCTGTCGTGGGGAACTATGTACAATTTCCACAGCTTCCTGGTTGCTTAGATGCTCCCATAGCCCATCCGAAGCAAAAATCAGAAATTCGTCTTCCGGGTTAAGCTGGTGAACCGTGACAGATGGATCAGACCTAAGGATCGGCTTGGTAAAAGGCTCATGCAGTCTGAACTTGGACATTAGAGGTTCTCTGTTGAATTCTGCTCTTTTGAGATATGCATCACCTATGGATCTTGTAACCTGGAAAGAGAGTCATAATGCAATCCCTTCAGTCTTTTTCACTCTATGACCCAAGAAATGGCTTCAATCTATGATAGATACTAATGAGAACTTATTATGGGCAGGTTCTGAAAACTGTTTGTCTTCATTTGCGAATGGGTTATTACCTGGATTACACCTTTGACTCGCCATGTCCAGTTCTTCATCACAAGAATGGTGGGGTCATCAGGGTGGATGGACCAGAGCTCCTGTCTTTCAGACTCTACATTGGCATTGTGCTCGACTGATAACTGAAGAGCTCTCACTCCTTTTCTCCCTCTCTCAGCTCTGCCCATCACAGCTCGTGAATCTCCCGCGTTGGCAACATACACCAATCCATTACATATCACTCCCATCAGACAGCATGACCCAACTGAAGCCAGCTTTGGGTTCCTGATCCACTGTTTCTTCACCATGGTGAGAAATTCCTCCTCTGTCTCTATGAATGCTTTTCTGATCACCTGCTCTGAGATCTCCCCACTCTCTGATGCAAACTCTGCTCAAACAACAAAGACTAGTGTTAGTGCCTGAACATATTCAAGAACGAGGGAAAAAGAGAGGGAGAACGAGAGGCGGTGCCTTACTCTTTATCTTAGGGAAGATCTTGTCACCGATGAATCTGGAAGCTTCAGGACCTCCGTGGCCATCGTACACACCAACGAGCGTGCCCTGAAACGCCGGGTCGTTGAAGTTCAACGGTCCTGATTCAATATGGCATTGATCCTCCATCACACCGTTGGCTTGTATCATAGCCATGGAAAATTCACCAAAGGCATGAAGGCCAAGATCCTTAAACCATGTCAAGCCATCAACTTTCCCGGTATTGTTCTTGCCTCTCTCACTCCCAACACCTATTTTCCAACACGGTTTAACCATTTTATCGATACAGTAATCTATACAGAAGGATTATATGTATATATTCTGCTAATAGGTTTTTGATGTGAGGACTTGGAACTTGAAGATGAAGGAAGAGGGACTTATATAAGGGAGTAGAAAACTCTACGTACAAGCTTAAAGAGGACGAGGCCAAAAGGGTATGGGTGAAACTACCGAAAAAGTAATTCGTGGGGTGAGACAAGACAAGAAAGACAGTAAGTTTAAGTAAGTATTCTCAGAGACCGCCCCCTTCTCTGTAGCTTGCAGGTCTAATTATTTATTCCAGCTTCTGCTCCACTGTCCTTCCACACATTTTCTATATAAACATTGAAGATATTCTATTTAGTCCCATGCTAAAAGTGATGGACTTTTCTCCTTTTTATAGCTTATTTAGGGCATTTGTTAAACCAGATTTGACAGAATATAATCTGTAAGCTTTTGTCGTTTTGCCATTAAACCAATGTTTTGGCACATTTGTTTACGTTTGGAGTGTCAATCCTCTTTCATATGTGTATATATATACACAGTTGACAACTTTGTGTGTGTTTCCATTGATGCAGGCAAGTAAATGGTTGAGAATTTTGTCAGTCATACTGGTAATAAGTGCGAACTGATCATTTCACTGAATTTGTTATTGTTTTTGCCTTCCCAATGAACATATATATATATATATATATGAAGGAGGACGTAGGAGAAGAAATGCATGTGTAAGTAAGAGAGAAGGAGATGGATGTACCTTGAACGTAGGCAATGGCAAGAGAGCATGACATAAGAAGAAGAAGAGACCATAAATGTATGTATGTACACGATTAGCTGTCCAAACTTATAAAACATGTTTTTTCTTTTGCCGGGTCTCTGTCCTTTCTTATGTTGATCGGAATAAAATCCTTCATGGGTTTTCCTCCATTTAGATATTAAAATCGAAATCTTTTTATTTGCGAGAATATAAGATCCAAACGGGTTAAAATATTATTGACTAAACCATGTTATTTTGGTTCTTTCTCCTCCAACTTGCATCCATGGCCTCTTCCTCCTCATGTTATAATTAAGAGCAAACCCCATGCATGCATGTAACACATATACACACACACACACACACACTGACACTGACACACATTCATTGTCAGAGAGAGAAAAGCAACAAACGAAGAGGAAGAAGAGAAGACAGGACTTGTCGTCTTTCATTAAATAAATGAATGCGTTAAATTAACCACTAATGTATCCAATCATTAAACTGTTGGTCACCACTTTTCCAATAATAAAAAGGTTATAAAATGAATCAACTGTAAAAAAAAATGTTCATAAGAGCATACGATCGTATAATATTCCGGTGAAATAATTCATGGGGTCATGTGGATGGACAATATGTTTTCTCTCTGAATTACTGAAACTCCATATGCGGTTATAACACATGAATTCAGATTAAAACTTAAATTCAAACCCAATAAAAAAACATAAAATTATATTTAAAGGAAAAAAGGAATGGAAACATATGGGGCATGATTGTTGGTCTTTTGTCTTTTGGTAGAGGGAGCATGAATGTCAGTCTATCTCCTTAGCTTCATGCTTTGGCTCTTAAGCACATTGCCCTAATCAACACGTACCTCATTAATTATCTATCCATATACAATTTTGGACTTTTGTATCGCTCCAAAAGTTACATATATTCCATCGTTTCATACAAATATGGAACATTTTTTCTTATACACAAATTCCCCTAATTATCATATATCAACAGAGGAATTTAATCATTTATTCCAATATATACCCATCCTAAACCATAATTAAAACCTATCCTAATGCTAGATCTTATGTACTAAAATCTAAACAATGGTGCATATTATAATTGCTAACTATAATATATAGTAAAAGCGCACCATTGAATTATAATCATTTTGACTCTGGGATGGGCAGGATTATTATCATTAATAAAAGGAAACGAGGGGACGTGGATATATGAGGTGAAGGGAAGAGTTAATTCCATGCATGCCATGCAGGGAACATGAGACACACATTACGTGAAGGCCCATGATGTCTGGTCGAACTAAAACACAACATTTTAATGTTAGATTTTCGTGATCTCAGTCTTTAGATTCGTGGATGTTCGTACTCTTCTCTCTCGTGGATTTGTACTTTTCTCATCTCTTGCAACGTATCCATAATCGTGATCGTCGACTTCTGCGCTCAGTCATTGCATGGTGACTTTGTGTGTATGTATATATGTAGACATGTATATATGTGCATATGTATATGTGTATATATGTGGGCATGTACATGTGCAATTGTGTGAATAATATTTGATTTTTTTTTTCTTGACGTCTCAAGTTTTTTCCGTCTGATGTGAGGTGGCATAATAAAATCATACTCGAATTTTCAAATGCAAGTCACTTTCGGCTTATCGAATTCCATCACTCAGTTAATGGATATCGTAAAAAATACAATCTCAATTTAATCTGGAAAGTTCATTGATTATCAAGTATTTGTAGTATTAATACTGATTTTTTATCTTAACAGAAGAATGTACGCCGTTATTATTGCTAGAGATATAAAAATGCTCGCCGTTTTTTTTTTGGCGTTACAAACGGAAATAGGAATGCGTGACGTTTTGTATGCTTATGACCGGCTTACCGGCGCCGCTCAAAAGAGTTAAGGTGTCACTAAAGCCCATGCAACATATTCATGTACAACCCTTACCACACTCCCCAAACCCAATAAACATGAACCGAAAAGCTGCCCATTTCTGACTACGCAATACACACCTTGTATATACATATATATATATATACCAATTCTAATTATCATGTATTTGAACACGGGTCCATAATGTTGACCCAAAATGGACCAACCATGGTATGAAACCAAGCCGAATCGGGATTCTACCCATAGATTGGAATATGTTCACAAAAACATGTATATATCTATATATATATAAGTACAGTGGATTCACACGGGCATGACACGTGTCCACTTTTTTTTTAAAATTTTTTTTTACAATTCTGATTCTAATTAATTGTTTTTGCAATTCTGATTCTAATTATTAAAGTCAAGATAGAGTAAATAATATTCAAAACTTTTATTTATTGGATTGGATCAAGGTTTTGTAAATATAATTAAAAGTCTCCGCAATTCCAATTCCATTAAAGAGGCTCAAAAATCTTTGAGACGGTTTAAGGGTATTTAAAGTGAGTTTTAAATTCATTGATGATTAATTAATTCAATTAAAAAAATTCTAAACTATAAAATGAAAAATATGTTATCGCTTTCTCATCAACGATATCAATTTGATGATGGAGGAATAGACAGTGATTTCCAGGCGAGGCTTAGCTAATCTACGTAGAATGTGAGTTTTTTTTTATGTTTTGTATATTATTGTGTGTATTATATTATTATCATCGTCATCGTATCAATACTTTTTTTAATAACATTAAAGTTGATCCCAAGTGGTTATTTGACTAATATAAATGTGAGTTTTTTTTTTGTGATCCATGATACAAAATTCGTAGAATTCATATACATTTGTTTTGATTGTCTATATTTGAACCACAACTTATATAATTTTACAAAATCGGTTTGACTTATTCTATACCAAAAATGGTATGAGGTATTGATTAAACATGAACCAAATGTTATTCCAAACGATATAATTTTCTAATTACACAATAATAAATCATTGTTGAAATATTTAATATTGAACTAATGTACATTAAGTAATTTGAAAATTGGTGTTTTTGATCATGTGCATGTGATACTATCATAGTACGAAATTTCTTTGTGAGTATATATATACATATGCATTGTTTTGGTGGATTATACATATACATACTTATATATATGTATGTATAGTCTTAAAAAAGAAGATAACTATGGGAGAAACAGTTATGAGTTGTGCCAAAGTGTAACTCTTATGGCCTTTTATGTCTAGAAACTAAATGTGGCAAAAAATATCAGGTTTTTTTTTTAAATCTTCCTCTTTTTATTTCTAAGTTCCAAATTTTTGTTTTTCGGTTGTGATTGTTCTTCGTCATCTTCTTCAAAGGAAACAAGGGATAATATTTTCCAGTGGCTTTTACCATCTTTAAACCCTACTTCCATGTCTACTCATTTCGCTTTTTAGTCCACCTATCCCTTCATTTCGGGCTCTGAAAAAACATAAACATGTTCTCCTTTTTGGACAACTTGGGAGGAGGACCAACTAAAGAAGGAGGATGAACCATGGATGAAGAGATGATCCTGTAGGGTGAAGGAGCATCGAAGGAATGTAGGTCTGCCTCCTCTGACGGCGGGTGAAGGTTGGTGGTGGTTATGAAGAAAAAGCATGGAGGGTATATTATTTTGGAGAAATTAATAAAAAAAGATTATTTCTTATCTATCCAATTATTTAATATGCAGATGGATCATATAAAAAAAGTTTTGTTATATGTTTATATTTAATTAATCCTTCAATAGTTTAAAAAAATAATCATGATATGAAATCATCAAAATATTTAAATCTTTTATAGGGAGAATTCCATAAAAATATTGAATTATAAAAAAAAAACTAAATAAACTACGAACTATTTCATTTTCAGAAAAAATACACTATCACGTTATCTTGACATTTAAAAAAAATTATCATTTAAAACCATAAAAAAAAACAAAATATATTACATTTAACTTTAAAACTATTAATGTTTTTTAAAATAAATTCATACATATTTTTTAATATACGCTAATATTTTTAACTTCTATATAATATGTATCCACATAATTAATTTCATAAAGTATATAAACTATTATCAATACAAATTATTATATGATATATTAATATAATATATATATATATACTTATACGAAGATACAAAAATAATAATAATAATACATATAAATATTGATGAGATTATATAGGTTTAACATTATACCAATGTTTTATTATGAAATATTTAATAATCTATTAACCATATTTTTGATAATTACGTTCTTCAGATATCCTTAAATTTACCAAAAATTAAATTCAGTCATCTAATCAGTAAATTTTATTAAAACATTATTTCAACTTCCATATTCTAACTATTTATTCTATATTATAACCGATAAAAATATAAAATCAAATATTTATTTAAAAAAAAATCTCATTTAAAATATGAATCATAAAATCAAAAGCAAAATATATTATATTTAATTTTAAAATTAATAATAAAAAGTTTTAAAAAATTATATATATTTTTCGTCCGCGCGGGTTATTATCTAGTTACCCCTAATGAAGAGTGAGTAAGAAGAAAACGGGGAGAACAAATCAACATGAGGGCATGAATCTGAAACTACTAGAAAAGACAAAGCAAGACCGCTTCCAGCATTCCGAGTAACTTCAGAACAACCAAATGAAAAACGACATGACATTGATCCAAACCTAAATAAGCAGGCGGCTTCGCTTTTCTTACCAATCAAAATAACCCTTTCTCAATCTCACAGGTCCTGCACACTCCGACCTGCAAATTATATAACCAAAGTTTATGAGGAGTCACATAAACAGTATACTAAACAAAGTCAATGAGAGAGAAAAACCAAAATCATCGCTCCCAGTTAGTGATCTTCATATGTTTGATCAACTTGAGCACAATGGGCATACAATAGAACTTATATACATACATGAATACAGACAAATCTAAACATGTAGGTACTAGGATTGGAGAGTTGACAAGTAGCAACAATCGTAAAAGGGTGGTCATACACGAATGGATTGATGGTAACTGTGAAGTCTGAAGCAGAAGCAAACCTGGAGGAAGAGACTGTTTGAGCTTGTCGGCCTTCTCTTGATCGAAAACGCAGAGAGTGTAGAGGTACTTTGAGCACCGGACCTTGAACTTGACGACATCTTTGCTCCTCTTAATCTTCACTGATCGAGCATCCTTCCTTCTTGCCGTCAGAAGGAAATCCTTAATCTCGCGGATTTGCTTAGGCTACATAACATAACACATACACATAAATAATACAGGAAGAAAGAGAGATCCTTTCGGTATAATCTCACAAACCCACATGGAGAATGTTGTAATAAATCACAAAAACACCTCAACATCGTGGTTTAGCTTTCACACGGATCATGCACTAAGCTTTTCAAAACAATGCGTTCAAAGCCAGTAACATCTCCAAAACCGTAATAAAGATGATGAAAACTTTCACAGCGCAGGTCTTTAGTCTATCGATGATGCACCATTTTTACGACTTGCCTCTACAAATACTACTCGCAATCACTCCGTATAACTTTGCAAGGCGAAGTATAAAGCAGATCATTCACGAGGAAGCACAAATTTCGGTAAAATCAAAGCAAAAAACTCTCTCTCCATACACATACTCTCTCATAAAACCCTAAAATAAAAAGCCCAAGTTTTCTGGTTATGGTATGTACAATCCCTCGAACTAGAGTTGATTCTGATACAATAGACGAAATTAGCGAAAAATCCAGGCGAGGAAGTTCAAAGCGCGGGCATCATAGACAACTGAAAACAACGACGTTTACCATTTTCGAATCTGAATTCCTGCGAGCCGTCGAGAAGATGGCTCTGGGGTGCGAAGCAGATACTTATAAAACGGAACCCTAGATGTCGTCCCATATCCCAATTCATTTTCGGCCCAAATATATCAATTTACAAAGGCTTGTTTACTTTTGTATCAAAGCAAAAGGCCCAATAAGTTTTACTCCTCAAAAAGGCCCGTTTGTTGGCCCACTAACTATATAAAGGTTGTTTTTGTACAAATACACAAAAAAATGTGTATATATATATATATATATATATGTGTGTGTGTGTGTGTATAATCATATATGTATATATGGATATCTTAAATTTCATTATCGGTTACATTAAATATTGATTCAGACTCTCATTTTATATAGTCAATAAATCTGCCAAAGAAGAAAAAAAAATAATGTTTCCCCGGAAGCGATATGACCACACGTTTATTTATCGATGAAGAGAACAAAATCTCTTGAGTTTCTTTATATACAACGCCGCATAAAAATAATACGACCAAATCAATAAAGACCATATAATCCAACCGTTACGATTACGCCACGTATGATTCACTGGCCCTGAAGAGAATCTCCCAGAGCCGTTGGATCTCGGCGAAGACATCATCGGTCGGAAGCTGAAACCGGCAAGAAGGGCAAGTGTTCCTCTTGCTCAGCCAAGGCAAGATGCATTTCCAATGGAACAAATGCCGGCATGGCATCTCGCAAACATCCCTCCCTTCTCTCATCTCTTCCTTGCATATAACACACTCCACTCCTCCTCCGTCTCCGGCGACCACCTCCACCGCCCGGAGAGCCACCACGGCGGCCCTAGCTGCCGCCACTTCCTTACCCTCCTTTCCTCCTCCGCCGCTCATTCTGTCAACAAAACTTTTACACCTGACGAGGGTTTCGACGTAAGGCATTAAGATACCGGAATTACATGTCCACAAGCCGGACAGACCATTCAACATGGAATCTGAGTATAATTTACTCAGCACTTCTCTCCACCGGTCTAGAGAGGCTTCGAGAATATCTGGGTCGAGCTGGTGGGTCTCGCACAGGAAGAGGAGGAGCACCGCCGCGTCGCAGTCCCGGAGATTGATCGCGGCGGTGGGAGACGGCGGAGGACGGCGGAGGTAGAGGTGGAGGAGAGAGAGAAGGTGGCGGGCGATGAGGATGGTTTTGTGTGGGAGGTCGAGGGAGAGAAGGTGTGAGAGAGTGAGAGAGAAGAGCGCCGGAGAAGAGAGCACGGCGGAGAGACGGCGGCAGTGGTGGTGGGAGAGAGTTAGGATTGAATGGGAGAGATTTCTGAGTCTCTCAGGTGAGAGTGTTGACATTATGTTTATTATGGTTTCCTCTTCCATATTGGATCTTGTGCTCCTCTCCTCTCCTCTCCTCTTCTTTCGACGAGAGTATTGAAGACTGAGGCATGTTGTTTCACATATACGCCTGTGTAATTTCTTTTTATTATTAGGAAAAATACATGGAAAGGGTATAGTACAAAAGAGATGATTGTCGGCTATGGTTTCATTGATTAATATTATAATATGTTTATAAACATAAAATGTGTGTGTGTATATATATATATATAAAAAGGGATTTGGTCCCCCATCCATGGCTGCTGCTGCTGCTGCTGCTTCCATGCATTTGTCCACTTTTCACACACTCTCAACTCATATGGCATTAGCACTACTACTACTACTACTACTACTACTACTACTACTACTACTAACACATAGTTCAAGATCCCTGGACTGACCAGAAAACTTAATACAATCATCATAGCAAGATGCTTCAACTGCAAGCAAAGATCACCCACAAGACAAAAGCAAGTGGAAAAATACTGTCATTGATTCCATGTTTCTCCAATGAAAAGGGCACCATCTTAGACCCACATAGCTCTAATTGGTTAAGAACATGAGCATCCAAAGTTAACATCTTTCTTGTATTCAGTTTGGTAGTCACACAGTCAAGATTGACAAAAAAAAACTAGCATTTATTGTTCATCGGCTTCTGCATAACAAAACCACAATGTCTGCATCACTGAGTGAGTTCAGTTTAGGCGTTTTAACCACGAGGTCAAATGCAAAGACGATATCACATCATCATCAACCCCAAGAGAAAACAACAGATGTGCTTTCGACCATCTACCTTCAGATTCTGTTGCATAAAACATAGCATCCACAAAGAAGATCAAAGAAAGGAACCTAAAATCACTGGAGAACTTGCATCATGACTTGATTGTTGAGACAGAAGCCCCTGTTTTTCGTAAAGAATGCGTTCATGGCATGGGTCTGAGATGGAAAATGCACCACAGCCACCCTAACAGGATCTGGCATTCCCCCCCTGCATGGTAAAAGAAGACAACGCAACAGCTTTATGTCCTCGTTCCCAATAATCTAGATTTTATTGTTTCTAAATGTTATAAAGCACAGAGATCCTCGGATTTGGAGAATAAAGCAGGATGAGTTAAAAGCACAAACAGTACTCAGTCAAAGCTATCAAGAACATTTGACAACATATAACATGAGTTTCCTCAAATGGTTGTTTTGTTGGCACTCTATTTTTCATCATTATTCCTGTCTGTTTGTAGCAAGTGCTCATTTCAAATCAATATGAACTTAGGTCATATCTTCGGGCAGATACTGGATCCAACATCTATAGGGAAATCTTTATCTAGCTCCAATCAAGAAACGGTATTTAAAGATTACAAGTAAACCACTCTAACCCTGTCTCTAGACAAAACCAAACAGGATATTACTGAGTCTGGAATTAAGGTAATCAAATCACAGCTAATCTCATGTAAACAAACAGAACAAAAAAGACAACAACAAGAAACGAATCATGAAGACTACAACTGACCTCCTAACAAACTGGAAGGATGGATGATAGTCACAGCCCGACAAGAAGCGTTCTATGTCATCAACAAGGGCATTCAGAGGAATTCCATGCAGTACAACCTGATGATAGCGGAAACTTTCATCATAACTAACCGAACAGAAATCACATTTTTGAAAAGCCAGTCAGAGCATGCTAGAGAGCAGGACCTTAACAAGATACAAAAATGCCAAAACACAACTCACCACTTTCCCCTCATATGATGGAAGGGGATCCCACTGAGCACGTTCAGCCTAGCGATCATAACATATCAATACCTTATATAATTGTAAAAAGAATCAAAATGCATCTAAGCGAAAAACTTATACTTCCTCAAAGGGTTACCCTCTCTATTTTGTATAACTTTCCCTTCTTCATAATTGACCGCAACGCATTATCATAGGACGAACGGGAAGGAAACCGCACATACCTGATATACAATGAAAATCCCATCAAGAGCTGAGGCAAGGTCCAAGCATATACAGAAAAAAATAACATAAAAGAACTAAATCGAAACATAATCTATGACATATCTCAAGCAGGGAAGGATTAAAGCATGTGGGTTTTGGAATCATGTCACCACCAGCCAAATGAAAAATTGTACAAGTTCAGGCAAATCATCAACTAAGCTAAGCTAAGACTTACGTTCCCAAAAGAGCAAAGGCTCCACCACGGCTATAGCTGAATTTGATATCATCTGGTGTCAAATTGCACCCATCGAGCAAATGCAATATATCTGTCTTTAGGGTACGTTTTGAGAAGCCCAACAATTTCCCATAGACCGGTCCTGAAATAACAAAGACGACAAAAGATTATCAAAATGCACAATTCAAACTAGTATACGCGCAAACTTTGAGATCAACACCACAAATGTCAGGCTCACATATCCAATGAGTAGACATGATTTTCCAAAGGATATACATGACGCATAGTTTCTCTAAGCACATAAACCATACAAATTGCGAAATAAGATTTTGCCCCAGAACTGGGGAAATTCACGTAGGAAAGCTCAACAGACAGAGAAGAAGAAGAACCTGTTCCCGAAGACCTAAAAAATCCATCGACCGGCGGCTTTTCCGGAGGTTGCTCCGTCTCGGTGGAGAAAGATTTCCTCCATTCGTTCAGACACGTCAGAGATGGACGAACTGGGATGGGATCCGGTAGCCGGAGACCGAGATTCGTCCTGATCGCGCTACGTAGGAGACTCATCTCTGAAAGAATTCAGGCCTAGGGTTTTTCCTCTCAGCAGAGTTTCGGGCTTACACGATGAAAAATGCAACTTACCAAACGACACCGTTTCATCAACCTCAGTATTTCATGAGCCCAAGCCCATCTCAAATTTGGAACACAGCCCATTTAACAATTGAGAAAACACGGAGAATTATGCAATGTTACCTTTAATAACTATTATTATTATTATTATTATTATTATTATATAAAAACACAATTTAAAAAAAAAAAGAGACAAAAACATTCAAACCACAGAGATCGAAATACATTTTCTTTGTATAACGAACGAGGACCATCTTGAAGCCTCGAGTGACAAACAACATTAAAGCTTATCCTAAAGGGCATCACTACATATATGTATGTATATATCTTACAATGTAAATATATCATATGATTATTCACGTGTCGGTGACTACGGTTGCATCAAAAGGTCTCTCCCCTTCGTAATTTCCCGGTGGGTTATACTCGCAAACGGCGAGGTAACCAGTCTCGTTGTAGCACTTGATGCTTGCGCAGCCGACCGAAGTGGTGGTTCGCCACACGACCTGAGTGTAGTGACCGCACATTGAACCAGGCGAGCACGAGTTCGACGTCGGGTTATAGTTCGAGCGCTCTCCGACCCACTGAGCCACGATCTTGGAAGGTGACCAGGCCATGGCTCGTGACCAGAACATGTTCTCGCCGTACGGTCCACCCGAGTGGACCATCTTGCAATCGACCTTTCGTTTCCGTGCCCATTGGGACGCGAACCGGGTCAGACCCACGTCCCAGCGGAGGGGTGGCATGCCGTGGACACCACGCGCCGTGTTGTGCGCGTTGAGGAACTCGCTCGATTGGTGGGCCTTTCTTGCTTTGTTCATCATCCGAGCGGCGGTTCCCGTTAACTCAACGGTGAAGGCGGGGGCGGATTCGCCGGCGGAGAGGAGGAGGAGAGAGGGGAGGAGGAGGAGGAGGCATGGAGGAGACATCGCCGGCGACACCTCGTCGTGTGTGTCCTCATCGTGATCTCTTTGGGTTTCTGATTTTTGGGTCCCATTTAATGTTCTCTGTGGATTTTTGTCGGTTAGAGATATTGCCATTTTTGACGAAACGCTAATATCACAGTTCCAACTTATTTAGTGTATATTAAAAGAAATTCTTTTTATAGAAAATGGCTAATTTAAGATATGAGTTTAAGTTACGAGCCAATCAAAAAAAGAGTATGAAACATAACTTAAACTCATATCTTTTAATGTTCGAGGGCAATGTCTGGTCCGTACGGTCGGGAGTGAGAGAATAGGAAGATGTTTAGGAAACTTGTAAGCGGGAGACATATGAGATCGATATGATACACTGCAACAGTTGACGAGGCAATCAAGAGGAGTTAAATTTGTATGTGTGCGTGTATATATAGTGGTCGGTGTGATGTAAGGAAAAGTGAAATGATATATGGCTTTTGAGGAGTTGAATGTGAAATCGGGATTCAGCCAAAATCTAAAAGAAGGGACAATCGTCGACAGCAGGATTCGAACCTGCGCAGGCAAAGCCCAACAGATTTCGAGTCTGTCTCCTTAACCACTCGGACATATCGACTTGGATGAGATTTTGGAAGAATTAATAATATTTGAGCATATTTCATGGTTTTCCGGGTGGTCTTTGGCCGCTTCAACGGCGGAGTCCACCACGTTCATGGATGCTGACGAAGACGCAAACGAAACACAATAGAGAACGTATAAGGATTTTATCCAAAGTTGAAATCAGACGATAATTCACGTAAAAATGTCGGAAGAGACCACATACGAATCCAAGACACTCGCAGGAAGCAAAAAAGCAAAATTACAATTGTAGAAGAAACCATTCCAGCTCATGAAACCGCAGTTTGTCCAATGATGTCCCAAGATTCCCTTTACTGGTAATCGTCCTCCACTGGGCTGGGGTCCTCTCTCGGATCACGGCTGCGGCTGCGGCTGCGGCTCCGGTCTGGCTCTCCGTGGGCTTGAAGGTCTCTTCCCGTTCTCTTGGTGGCTGCCATTCTCGAGACTCATGCTACGCTTCCTGTCCTTGGGAGGCGGTGAGTTGTCAGACACTGGCTCGGGGCTTCTGGTTCTCTCAGCGGGTTCGAGACTCCGCTCTCTCCTAACCGGGGATCTCGAGCGACTAGCAAACCAAACAGGAGGACACCACAGTAAATATTTCATGCCATGATTCAGTACGATAACGCAAAGACAAGAACAATCCTGAACCTGTAGCTGCGGCCACGGCTGTAACTTCGGCTTCTGCTGCGGCTTCTTCTACGACGAGGAGAGCGTGACCTGACCGGCGATCTCGAGTAACTTTGGCCCCTGCTGAAATATTACCCCCAAAAAAAAGTGAGCAATCCAAGCAAAAACACAGAGAACATCACAGACATGAAGAAAGTACCTCAGCTTCTTGGGGCTATTCTTGCAGTCCCTCTCAATGTGACCTTTATCTCCACAGCGGTAACACTTGTTTTTCCAGTCACCAGCCGTACAGTCTCGAGCCCAGTGGCCATCGACCCCACAGTTGAAGCATCGGCCAGTTCCTGGAGGAGGGCCCCTGCTCGAATACTCTCGGGAACCCCGAGGCGTCTATAAATAACAAAACCCAGACAAGAAAACATGAGAAACAAACATTACTCTCGGATTAACAATTTAACATAAGCACGTCTAGCAAATGTAGAACTTCATAAAGCAGCTAACCCCTTTGGCAAATTCAACGATGATACGGCTTCCATCGAAATCCCTTCCATCTAACCGATACCTTGCATCATCAGCATCTCGAGGATCACTAAAATCCTGTAAATTGAAAGGTAAGCACAGAAATTCAAACAGAAAGAGGCATCCAATGGAGACGGGCAAACGAAAAGTTTCAGAGGCCTAAACTATCATTTGAAAAAGAGGAAATTATGGGGAAGTAATACTTACGACAAAGGCATAGTCACGCTTTACATCCACATCACGAACTCTGCGGAAATAGTTGCCATTGAAACAGTAAGGCCATCGTTATTTTAAGAACTGCAACTGCAGCTAGTGTATGATACTTCACCATCATCACAGCAAACGTAACAACAGATTGTGATTTGTTGCCATTTCATCATTAAAACATGCAATACATTACAAACAGAACCGCCAAAGTCCCCCCCTATACACCATGAAAGAATTTCCACCAAGGGGACCCTCTCACCATAAACCGCCAGGTCAGGTATTAGCCAAGAAACCTTCAACAAGATCATTCAAGTTAAACTATGGTACACTTGGAGCCAGAACAACCCCCCTGCCCACATAATTAAAATGAATATAAAATAACTCAAGATATCCAACTGTAATTCTGGCTATGTTTAGTCTTTGAAGACCGCCATACCATAAGTCCATAACTTGGTGAAATTCAAGAACCGATATGCCCATCAACGGAGATTATTGGATATGGAAGATAAAGAAGATGCAATCCAAGAAATTGGATGTATTTTGAAGTGTCTAATACTGTCTATATATGGTTCTCAAGAGAAAGCTCAAGTCTTCAAAAGAAATACAAATAAAACAACATAAACAGCAACATCCATTCAAGCCAGTCAGTCATCCCGCAGAAAAAACAGCTCAAAGGGAACAGCAGAGTAAATTACCTTCCATATCTGCTGAAAAGTCGCTCCAGGTCACGTTCTCGTGTTCGAGATGACAAGCGCCCAACATAGAGACGTGTAGTACTGTCTCGATCATCATAGCGAGGCATCTTCAATCTACAACAAGCAGAAAATTCGATAACCATTAACCAGAGACATTAACAACATAATCAGCAGCTTTTAGTGATTCGTAGCAAGGAGAAGTCTGAACAAATTCTATAGCATTCAAGCATAGCTAGACAGAAACCAATATTCAAACACTAATTCTTTTGTTCATTAGCGTAATTTAGAGCAAATATATAAAGCATGAAGTTTGAGTACAACCCATAACATCTCAACAGCCTATCGTCATCAAGTTATTTCCTTTTTCCAACCTTAAAGCCAAAACAACCCAAATAAGTAAAATTTGACAGTAGATCAGAGAAAAATCAGCCAAAAAACTCACAGGGAAGGTATACGAACGAAATCCAGAAACATAACAGAGAAACCGTAAGAGTCGTGTCCGAGTAACATATCAGTAATTTCCGCAATCAAGCCAGACAGATTCGAACATGGATTAACACTGGGAAGCAAGAGAACGACAACAACCAAGGAAACCTTGATTTCATCGAAGGTAAAAGCAATCTACTAGCGAAAGAAAATGAACAGAAAACTTGATCGAACCAGAGATCGATAGAATGTACACCGAAATCATACCTCCAAATCCAACAGTCCGCCGCTACCGAAGCCAATTGGCTCAAATCCCTCTACTAGAATTAGAGAGTTTTAACCTAACATCCATTCTACGCCCAGATCTATATAGCAATGTGGAGAAAGGAAAACCTTTCAACGGCCAGGATTCATTTGTTTTAAACCAACGGTCCAGATTCCAGAACTGTGGATATTTTCCCCCAGTAAGGTGAACGGAGAAAAATATTTTATGTTTTTATATAAGAGATTTTGGTAATTTGTATTTTTAGAAGAAAATTATAGACGTTGCAAGAAAACAAGATTATATAAATTCAATTTAAGAAAATCTGGCTTTTAGAATATATTATTAATTTATTATATTAATATTATAGACTCGTAGCCACATTTTCTGCACAAATCCAAATTCCCGGGGAAAAAAAAAAGATGACGAATCAGAAAAAAACCTCATCCAAACTCTGAAATGCCACTCGGTGTCTCTCTCTCAACCTCATCCGCTTCTCCTTTGTCCTCTTCCCCCTTCTTCCTTCGCCGTTGCGGCCATGCGAAACCCCGATCCCGGCGATTCCTCCTCGGCACCATTTCCTCCGCCGAGCCCCACCTCCGGAAGAACCAGACTGGCGTCATCGTCGTTGGCGCTGGACTCGCCGGCTTAGCCGCCGCGACTCGGCTCAGCTCCGAGGGAATCCCGTTTCGCCTCCTCGAAGCCTCCGATGGCGTCGGCGGACGCGTCCGTACTGACGTCGTCGACGGCTTCCTTCTCGACCGTGGATTTCAGATTTTCATCACGGCGTATCCTGAAGCTAAGAAGCTTCTAGATTACGAAGCTCTAGATTTGCAGAAATTCTACGCCGGAGCTAAGGTTTATTACGACGGGAGATTCCACACCGTGGCGGACCCTCTCCGGCATTTTTGGGATTCGGTGATCTCGCTAGCTAATCCCATCGGATCTGTCGTCGACAAAGCTCTGATCGCTTTGACGATAGTTAGGGTTCTAAGCAAGTCAAACGACGATCTATTGACTGCCTCCTACGAGGTTCCGACCATCGAACTCCTCAGAAAGATCGGATTTTCAGATTCTATCCTGGACCGGTTCTTCCGACCATTCTTCGGCGGAATCTTCTTCGATAGAGACCTCGAAACGACCTCCAGATTGTTCGATTTCATATTCCGGTGCCTCGCACTCGGAGAAAACACGCTTCCCGCCATGGGAATCGGAGAAATCCCTAATCAGTTGGCCGGAAACTTGCCCGCCGGATCCATCTCATTGAACACACGAGTCGCTTCGATCGAGTATCCGGGTTCGGACTCTCCGCCCATCGTGAGGCTCAAAAACGGCGACGTTTTGAGCTCGGATCTAGGAGTGATTCTCGCGGTCGAGCAACCAGAAGCAGATAAGCTTCTCACTGGGATTAGAGAACCGGTTAAGAGCAAACCGGCCCGGAGCACAGCTTGCCTATACTTCTCAGCTGAACCAGACCAGATCCCGGTACAAGACCCGGTTCTGATTCTCAACAGTTCAGGAACCGGTATAATCAACAACATGTTCTTTGCCACAAACGTCGCCCGGACTTACGCCCCACCGGGAAAAGCTCTAGTGTCTGTCTCATTGATCGGGTCGTTTGACGATAAGTCCGACGCGGATCTTACGGCCGAGGTCGTCGGGGAAATATCGGGTTGGTTTGATGCTTCTTCGGTTAAGTCATGGAGACATTTGAGAACGTACCGGATCCGGTTTGCTCAACCGAATCAGAAACCACCAACCGACTTGGTTAAGAGTCCTCGGGTCGGGTCGGGTCTTTTCGTGTGCGGGGATTACATGACTTCTGCCACGTTCGATGGGGCTTTGGTTTCGGGCCGACGGGCCGTGGAACGTCTGCTGCAAGAGAAAGGACTAATCAAAGTCTAATTAACTGTTTTATCGATTGTAATCATGTTATCTAATTCATTTTAAATTGTCTATACCTTCCATGTTTTCTGAAAGTTTTATATGTATAGCTTTGTCTGCACCTTGTATCTATTATATTTATATTTACACTGCATGAAAATAAAATAAATCATTCGTTATTTCATCGCGGAGATTCATATCACGACTATTTAGCTAAAAATTCGATTATTTATAAATTTATAATGTTTGTATGAATTGTGGTTTTCATCTTTAAAGCTCGTTACGACTATGTACCGAGGATGAAGTATTTTATGGCATATTTAAATCCAATAAAAAAAATTATATTTTCCAATAACCAAAAAAAATAAGCAAAAGCAAAAGCCGAAATCCATCATTATTTTATTTACATAGAAATAAAAACACTGTTCATAAAGTCAGAGGTTTGCTGGGTAATTTTTTTGCATATGCGCTTTCTTTCTTTAGAATATGCTTTTTTATTTTATTATTTGTAACGACATTTTAACTCTCCCATTGTAAGTTAGTTAGTTTCTAGTGATGCCACCTTCATTTTTTTTTTTATAACCGATCATCCTAGGTCAAAAGTTCACACTAATTTCAGGAGCAGAAGTCAACCACGTAATTTGAATTATACGTTCTTTCCCCAATTGGAGACTCAAACTTGAGGCAGAACAAACGTTTTGCGTCCCCGTTTCACTGGTTGAACTATCCAAATTAAGACACATTCGTTTTACTTTATAGCAATGTATTTTGCTTATTATTTTCATGTTTTTATTTAACAACCCCTATGGAAAATATAAAGTGCATTTCCCGCTAAGATTGTTACAATTATATTCGAAAATTTCACCTCATGTGTTAAATTAGATGAGCCATGTCACTATAATTAGGCATGTATAACACTCTTGTCTTTATTATGTTAGTTACCGAAACCAAAATAAAATGATTATAACAATTAATAACAAATCAGAAGTAAACAGCAGTCATTACACATCATTCATCATACTCATAATCAATGATTTCTATTAATTAGATATGGTCCGCATCATAAGTCTCATATACTTCTATTCTAACCACCATTGACCCATTTACCCTCGTTTTCTATCTACATGTTCACCATAGACACGGGCATAAAATATATTTTATAGATAGATGGGCAGATCGAGAACTTGCAATATATATAAAGACCGGAATTTAAAATATGAAGCATGATTATATACAAATAAAACTCGAATTTTATCACTTGTTTTCGGTTTACTATCTTAGTATCTTATATACGTTAAACGTGAGAAAATAATTTATTTATATGGGCATTGATTATTTTTATGGACAGCTACCGTACAAACTAATATATTTTAGCAATTCTAACATGTCACAATTTAGCCATATAACATATTTTATATTTTGGTGGTGTTAGACAAATCAATCGCATAATTTGCACGTGAATAAAAATTTTAGTCTGAGTATTTGGTGTACAAATTTTTTGCACGATTCGATTCACACGAGAAAATAGATCGATTACGAGTAATTTCACGTATATATTCATAGAGATATTCTATCTAAACTTCAGTGATATTATTACATCATTAATTTGGATGCACTGAATACCCAACACTAATATATATATATACATATATATATAGAGAGAGAAATGTATATACACTTTAATCTTAATTATCTTTAAAAATTATACATCCATTAATTAAAAAAAAAAAAGAAAAAGAAAAATTCCCAACACTCATTCTCTCTCCAGGTTTCTCTTTTCACTTATCTTTTCTTCAAATCTAAGCTTCACTGTATCCCATTTGTAAACCCTAAAAACCAAAACCCACATATATACACTCACACAAACACAATAGCCAAAAAAAGGGGGCAGAGAAGAAGCAAAAAAAAAAAAGAAAAGGAAAATGAGCTCGGTGTGTATCTCCAACTGCATCAACGACGCGAGCGCGTCAATACGGCCCGTACGGACAACGTATGTGAGCCTGTACAAGTGGCCGGAATCCGACGCCGAGTTCGTACGGTCCGTCCGCCGTGGAGGCGGAGCTCCGGCGGCCCGTGTAGTCGACAGCATCTCCTGCCGTCAGATGTACCTCCGCAGCTACACCTTCTCCCGAGAAGACGACGACAAGAAGAACAAGAACAAGAAGGAGACGTCAGCAGCGAAGTCGACGTGTCTGGGGAGGGCGAAGGAAACGGTGTCGTTTAGGCGGAGGAAGGAGGAGGAGGAAGATGAAGGCGACGTCGTCATTGTGGACAGGGACAAGACGAAACGACGTCGTAAGAGGGGGAGACCGAAGAGGAAGAAGAGGTTTGCTTGCTCTGCCCTCTTCAGGTTGTTTCAGAGGTTACTGTCTTGTGCTGCTACTGTAGATGTCGTTGATCATGTGTGATTATTTATTATTTTATGTTGAATAGCATTTCATTAGCTTTTTATTATTGTTTACGATCTTATATATATGGCGTTTGTTTGGTATGTGGTTCATACTGTGGCCTAAAATTTCATTGTTATGTATTTTGTTTTGTTTTTTATAATCTCTAAGAAATAGATGGTCTTGAATTTTGTTATTTACCCATTATTTTAATAAGAATTTGAGCTTATTATCAGTTTGATAAGTTATTATAATGTTTTCACAAGGTCCAAATCTCATTTACCCTACTCATTATGTTTTGGACAACTTTATGATGTCTTGTTCTGCTTCCCCCTACTTAATCAGGGTTTAAGCTTGATATTTATTTCAATTAATGGAAAATCCAACATAAATACATTTTTTTTTAAATTTCCATGTAAATGCATAAAATATTCTTTTTTTACATATAAATATATGATTTTTTACAAACCTTCATATAAGTATATAAATATTTCAAATATTATCACCTGCATTTGTGGACCCTTTGGGAGAATGACAAAATGATGTTAGAGGTACGTGTTGATTCCTGTGAATAAATTGACAGTAAGAAATAATAACTTATAATGGGTATTTAAATTTATTATCAACTGAATTTGTATAACAGAAAAATTAATTATGAACACATGACGCGGGAAATTCCAGCATCGGATGCTCACCAAAGTAATAAAATAAACCAAAGTGCATCACCATTCCCCGATTTGATTTTTTTTAAGATGGAAAATGGTAAAAGAAAATGCTTTTCCAAAAGTAGAAAAAAATACAATATCAAAGTTTATTGACTAAGAAAATACCTTATACATATGCATATTTTTTTTTGATAATTCAGAAGTTCACCGGGCTTTTAGACCGACTACATGCATCTCCCACAGGACCGGAGAAGTTTAGGTGAATGTCCTTTTCCACGCTTGGATTTGAATCCAGGTGTTCTTTCACCACTAAACCACCGAAACTTGAGTCCTTATACGTATGCATATTATAAATACAACTACTTATTATTATTTTTTTGGTAAATAACAGCTACCTATTAAATGGCTTGGCTTGCTTAAAACCATATACATACAAATGGATATACAGTTGAAATTTAATGCCGGATAAACACACACACATATATATATATATATATATATAATGATCGGAATTGTACATTGTATTGTATGTGTGGTGAAAGAACTAGAGCCTTAAATGCTGACGCAACAAAAAAAAAAGGAATACATAAGTGTTTCAGTTTAAAATTTTGCAAGGAAAATTTATGATAAAAATATTTGATAAAACTAGTAATAAATTTGTTGAAATTTGATCTTAAAAAATGTTGAATATTGTTATACTTAAACTTTCTCGGAATTTGTAAAGACATTAACAAAACGAGATTGTGATAATATCAACAAAAAAATTTGTAATTGCGAGATGAAAAATTCCTTTATAAGAATGTAAAATTTTAATTTCATTTAAAATGTATACTCATGTTTAATTTCGTATAGTATTATACATTTTGCAATTTACAAGGTTTCGTCTGTTTATTTTAAAGGAATAACCATGTAAAATCATAAATTTTATTATTATGGGTCATTATTTATACTTTACAAAGAAATGTTTGACAATGGTACCCAATGACAAAAATAATCATAATAAAAAGCAAGGGGCTTACCGAATTCATGTCACGCCTGTTATTATTAGCAGGCCATGGTTCAACCATAATCCCAGCCACAAAAGGAAATAAATACTAAATAAATTCTAAGATATGGTTGCTTATTTTATTTCCCATGATATGTAAATTTGTACACATCTCGATACCCACACCAATTTGTTAAAGGTTTATTTTTATGAGAAATGTTATATTTATTAAAAAAAAATTCTAAAATATTATATTGTGTACATAATTATATTTAGACAATGATATCGAATGGCTTGTATTACATAATTGCATTTTTTTTTTGTATTTTTTTTCAAAACAATCATAACATGCACCAAACACATGCTTTCTTCTGACGCTTAAGTTGCAAGACTCATCACACAAATGAATGTTAGGCTGTTCTACATTCATTTGTTTTGTTAATTATTATTTATTTTCCGACCATCTAAAGAAAATACAATTTAGGTTATGTGATGCGACAAGAGTTCTCTGTGACAAAAAAAAAAACCCATTTTATTCGAATCACGGTCCATAGCACATATATTTTGGTTCTGAATGGTGGCATTATAATTAAATATAATATAATTTAGTGGAATAAGATATGGATAGAAGGATTTTTTTTTTCTTGATCACTATTTTTTAATGGGGCGACTTCATTCCCCTCCCCAAAAAATAACAGAATAAAATCCCCCATTTAGAGGCTTGATAGAACATTTCTAATACCCAAGAGGTAAATTTTATTACAAAATATAATTGTATACAACACAACAGACGTGATAAGAGGTAAATAATGCAATGGAATATATAATACATTCAAGAAAGCACTTGTGTACACATGTATACAAGGGGTAAACCCAAAAATATACACTAACATATATACATATATATATATGTAAGATTTGCGAAAGGTGAATTACTTGTGCGAGGGATAAACCCAGAAACAGAGTCACCTGGCCAGTTTCAGAGCCCTAACCTCGTATTCTTCGTCTTCCTCGTCAAGAACAGAGTACTCGTTCTTCTCCACCGGTCTAAACACATAGAACATCAACGTATAAAACCCTAGACCGGCAACCTCCTCCACTGCATTTCTCACCCATCTGTACTTATATGCCATGATAATCCCTAGTGCAAACACTAAGATTCTCGTCAAAAACAGGTACCCTATCACCGCAAGGTAGAACCGCCTAATTATAGTTAACTTAGCCGAGTTTCTAACCGTTTTCGAGGTTTTCTTCAGGACTCGAATCGTCCGGACAATGTGGAATATAATCACGCAGCAGCAGGTCACGTCCGCGAGCAAGAACACTTGGTTCCAGATCACCCAGTCTCTGATGTAAGGACCTGTCTTCCCCACAACAATCGAGGCAATGTTGGCTAGAACCTGAAGTGGAATCACAATCATCAACACCACCTTCTTCTCCCTGTTCTGTAAGGACGACCGATCATTGCCAATCGACACAATCACAGTGAAGAGCAAAACCGTACGGATGAACTGGAAAATGTAGAACAGCACGTCCCAACCGTGGGGGGTACCCGTGAATTTGACGTAGTACTTCTCCGCAGCCTCGGAAATCAAATTCAAAGTCTTCATCAGTAGCAGAGCAGCCATTAGAAGGTGGATCCGATGGACGAGTCGCCTATCGATCGAACAGATATAGACCCAGATGCAGAGAAAAGCCCAATAACAGAGAAAGAAGAAGAAATACAACCCGGGTAATCGGGTCAACCCGGACGGCAAGTAGTCCTTTGAACCTTTCGCATCCAGATTGTACATCGCCGTTCGAACCTCCATGGAAACCCTAGTCTCCGGCGCGCAATTCGCGAAGAACAGAGAGTGCCCGCTCGGAGATGTGAGCGAATACGAGAGGTCGAACCGGGATCGCGGCGGCGGGGAGAGATCACGGAACGTGAAGAGATGGATGACGTAGTGGGAATCGAGGATACATAACGTAGGGTTTCGCTGGATCTCGAGGAGCACCTGGCGGAGAGATTCCTCCGACAGGAGGAAGAACCCTAACCTTGACGGGTCGGGAATCGGACCATCCGACCGAGACACGACGGAAACCGACGAGACAGAGACGTTAACATGACCAGTATGAGTGAATCCGAACATCTCGAAGAGGATAACGGGCCGAGAGTCGTCAGAGATGGTCAGAGACTTGATCTCCGCCGCCGTCTGAGGGAGGAACACGGCGGAGAAGAGGAGGAGGAGGACGGCTACGAACAGTAATTCCCTCATTTCACGGTTGTGAGAGAGAGAGAGAGACTTGATCTCGTGCTTCGGCTTTGCTCTTTACGAAAATGGACTGTATGGAAATTTCCCTGATGAAAAGTCAAAGTCAATGCATATTATTAAATTTATACGACGATGACGTGGCGAAGTGAGAGATCAGTCGCGTGGACGGCTGGATCCCGACAAAAGTATTGGGCCTAAATATCAGGCCCAGTAAACAAATGGGCTCACACGTATTTTAAAAAAATTTAATTTCTTTAAAAAAGCTTTCTTTTTTTTTTCATTCTAGTTTTCTTTATTTTTATATTTCAATTGAATTCCAACTTAGATTGTTTAATGTAACTAAAATATATTTATCAGTTTTTAAATTGACTTAGCTCGACTACCACACTATATATTTCTCGGTTTGGTTCGCTTTTTTTATTTTAAAAATAGATGTAATTAATAATGTAAAAATACATTATAGTTTATGCATTCGTGTTTGTAAATTTTTTTTATTTGAATATTACTATCATTGCCATCTTCTGCTTCCTGCCCTTCGTCTCTCTGTTCGGGGTGGATATATTTGATTCCTTATTTTCGGATATTTCGATTTTAAATGATTTTTTTTTATCTTACGCGATTTTTTATCCGTAACTAGATTTAATATTTTTTTTAAAAACAAAATTCATAAATTTGTATTTACTTATACAAAGTATAAAGATATATTCGATTAAGTTATTTTTAGAGTTAGATATTTCAGTTTTAAAAAAAATCTATCTATTTTATATTTTATTCTGTAGTTTTTCATTAAGAATAGTAAGTAATTCAGAAAAAAAAAACATTTATTATTTTATTATTTTTCATAAATGCAATTGATTTAATTTAAAAAGATATATAATTTTATATAAAAAAATTGCCTAATATGATTTTAAAAGCTATAAATTTTCTTATAAAATTTAATTCGAGTAAATTTAGATGCTATTGTATTCGGTGAATGAAAAATGGAGAATGAAAAGAGAAACAGAGGAAAACAAAAGCAGTGTCGGCGGGAAAAAAAAAAGTCAACATAATGATTCCCTGCCCTCCGGGCCAGAGAGCTGGAATTGGGAAAGCTCTTCTCTCAGTTCTTTTTTTTCTTCTGTTTTTTTTTTTTGGGTGTTTAGTTTTAGTTGCAGAGAGAGAGAGAGAGATCAATTAAATCCAAAACAGAAACTGTCCGAAAACTGAAGTTTCTAAAATGGGAAACTCACAGTGCCTTCACAGATGTTGTAACGGCGCCGAAACTCCCGCGTCCTCTTTCTCGCCATATAAAGCCGGTGAATCTCCGCCTCCACCGTCATCTCCGGCTATCAATATGGCGGTTCCGTACAGCGACGCCGATTCCAGCTTGCGCTCTCTCGCCGGCGCCGCCGAGGGCTTCGGTCGTTCCGCCGTCGGTGGCCTCCACGGCCCCATTCACTTCGTCACTTCTTTAGCCGGTGATCCCTCCATCTCCCCTTCTTCCTCTTTTTTTTTTTTTGTGATTTGGATATTTCCGGAGCTCGATTTCTTGATTCGATTGCATGGGATCGGTAATTTTTGCTGTTTAATTTGGTTTATAAGACTTTTAGATTGATCGAATTGCGATCGAAATTCACAGAAAAACTTGCATGATATTATCAAGTTCTTGAAAAAGAAAACGAAAGAACGTAATTACTCCAAAGATATGGTTGGGTTTCTAGTTTGTTTTTTTAATTTGACACGTGATCAATTACAGAGGACGGACCAGGGTCGCTGAGGGAGGCTTGCAGAAGGACAGAGCCGCTGTGGATAGCGTTCAAAGTCTCGGGAACGGTCAATCTGACGTCGTTCTTGAGCGTATCGTCGCACAAAACGATAGACGGGAGAGGGCAGAGGATCAAGATCACGGGCAAAGGCCTTCGGCTTCAAGAATGCGAGAACGTCATAGTATGCAATCTTGAGTTCGAGGGCGGTGTAGGACCGGACGCTGACGCTATCCAGATCAAGCCCAAGTCCTCTAACATTTGGATCGATCGATGCAGCCTTCGGAATTACTACGACGGCCTTATCGATATCACGCGAGAAAGCACCGACGTAACTGTTTCGAGGTAACGTCATAATGTGTTTTTATTTCATTACATTATTTCGGTTTTTGGGTGAAACTGTTGCGTTGCAAGCAGTGGGTTATTGTTCATTCGTTCACCAGGTGCCATTTCAAGAACCATGACAAGACAATGCTGATCGGAGGGCACCCGAGCCATGTGACCGACCGATGCATCCGAGTCACGATCCATCACTGTTTCTTCGACGGCACGAGGCAGAGACATCCTCGTATCCGGTTCGGGAAAGTCCATCTCTACAACAATTATACCCAACACTGGGCCATTTATGCCATCGGTGCGGGAGTCGAATCTCAGGTCGGACGACACAAGCACCTACTCATTTAAAGATTATGTATCGGCTGATCGATGTCGAATTGTAGGGCATTCGTTATTATTAATCAATATCGTCTTAATTAAATCACAAGTTTAATTGGGATCGACTATATAAATTCTTAATTTCTACTCATTTTTTAACAGATACATTCTCAGTGCAACATATACGAAGCCGGTAAAAAGAAGGCCGTCTTCAAGTACATCACCGAGAAGGTATGCTTCTACACAAAACCGGTTTCTTTTGTGACTCCAGTAGTTCAATATCGGATTTTCACCCTTTTTTTGTTAGGGTTTAACATCGGATTTGCCCTTTTTTTGTGATTTGTGGAGGCGGTAGATAAGAAGGAGGCCGGGTCGGGATTCGTAAGATCAGAAGGAGATTTGTTTCTGAACGGAGCTCAGCCGTGCCTCGAGCACGGTGGCGAGGACCGCCGCACCTTCCGTCCGGAGGAGCATTATGCCACGTGGACCGTCGCTCCTCCAACGGACAGACTCAAACACTTCCTCAAGACCTCGGCCGGATGGCAGGACGTACCTCTTCCGCCGGAGAAATAACGCTGCAAAGCAAGAAGATCATGTCGTAGAGGACTCGATCTAAACCTCATGTTGTCGACGTGACGGAATATTAAATTTCATAAAGTGGGTGGTTATGCATGAAGACGTATTCCACGTCCGATATATAGTCTTTTTTATTCCATGACTTTGAACTCGTGTTTTCGTTAAGAGACCATGACCTGTAGTTGGTCCATCGTCCATTGTAGGGTCGAGAATTATATATATATATATTTGGATAACCGGATTTCCTGGACCGAGGCCCATATTAATCTCGGGGCTCGGAGTCAGTCATGTGATTTGAATTATGCGTTCCCTTCCCGACCTGAGGTTCGAACTCGGAACGGGATAGGCTTTGCGTCCCTATTTCACCAGTTGAACTATCCAGACTGGGTAAACACACATATATTCATGTGTAATATTATGTATTACCGATTAGAACTTCATTTCAGTTGCAGATTTGACAGAGAGCCTCTGTAGGACAAACAAACTCAAGTTATGATCAATAAGAACAACTGTTTTTTCTTGTGAAATATGTCGGGAATTGAATTATAAGATTATCTATTGATGTGTAGTAATTGCAGCTCTCGATGAAGTAATTAAAAGAGAAGAGAGTGAAACGTACATTAAATAAATAAGACAATTGGTTTTTCAGCCGCTTCAAGATCGGGAGGGTCGACGATGCGACGGAGAAGCGGGAGAGGAAGACGACGGCGAGGGTGACGGCGGAGCAGATAAATTCCCCAAAGTACCCTTCTCGAAGAACAAGTCCGACAAGCAATTCCCAATATCCTCAGGGGTAAATCGGACAACCGACATCGTATTCCTCGTGCGGTTTTCACCTCCCGCCAACACAACCGTATTTCTGTGCCTGTAGTAAAACTCGCGATAAACCGGCAACAGTTTTCTCGCGATCGATGTCTTCAACTCGTCCCGGAGATTCGCGTCCGGTACGATGCACGCGCTCTGTTTTCTGTACGCGCTCTCGAAGCTCGTGCTGAAAGTCTCGAACCGCTGCTGCACCTCCTCCGGCGACATCGCCGCCGCAACAGAAATCTCCGGTAAGGATGACGCGACGGGTACCCACGCGAGACGCTCGTAGCTCGCCGCGAACTGCCTCGCCTTGGAGAAATGTCTCGCGACCCAGTCGTCGCCAAGAAGGTGTCTCAGGTTGGAGGAGCGAACGCGAGAGACGGTGTGCTGGAGATTGTTGGCTAAGAAGAGATACTGAAGGGACAAGTCCTTGTAGTGCTTTGCTTTGTGGTCGACCTTGCAGAGGAGAACGAGGATGAGCCAAGCGATTCGGACCGTCAGCTGCGACGCCGGAGAGTCGTCGGATTCCGCGGCGTCGAAGTAAGATTCCGGCAGCAGTGATTTCTCCGGCGGCGGAGATCCGATGAGGATATCCGCGAGTACGGTGTTGTAATCGGAGAGGAGAGAAAGGTAATTCATGGTGGAGATAGTCAGGGGATGAACTCCTCCGCCGGAAACCACCGTCTTCGATGAGTCCTTCTGGATTCCGGACTCGAAATCTTCCAACAGCGATCGAATCGAATCGCCTAGACGGATTAGAGAATTGAGAGCTTGAGTACGGACCATGGAGATTGATTCGAAAGAGAAGATCGATTCGATTTCTTTCCAGTTGTCGGCGATCGCGCTGTACATATCCAGTAGCCGGAAAATCTTTTCCGGCGGGGAATTTTTCTTGCCTTTGACGGCGACGGTTTCTGGGAAACCAAACAGAAGAAGAGCTCCAGCTCTGGAGATGTCGCTGAAACAGGATTCTCTGAGGGAGTCGGAGGATTCGAAAACGTGATCGCACAGAATCCTCTCTCCGTTGAAGAGGGTTTTCATGGAAACGTTAACCGCATCCACCCAGCATTTGATCTTCAACTCAGCTACCTCCCAGGGAGATTTCTTCATCTTCGACAAACTGGTTTTCTCCACTCCGAGTCGGTAAATTCCTTCGTCGACGATCGATTTCCTGATGGATTTATATATACTCACACACTCTTTGGCGTAACCGGAAGCGATCATGCACTCAGCAATGGATTTCAAATCCGCCATTGCCATCGTCGACACCTCCTCGACTTCGATAATGGAATCCTCGGCGGCGGTTGTCGCATCGTCGTCGTCTGGGAAATCGGAGGTGCTAGATCTCGTAGAGGTAAGCGAAGAACGAGTCGAGACGGATTCAGGATCGAGATGTGCACGATTCATTGACAGAATCTGGTAAAACTCTTTCTGCAACCGCTTCATCGCGATCTGCATCAAATTTTGGGCTCTCACGAGCTTCTCCGAATTCGAATCCTGAGACACCAAGAGGATCATCGTCTTCTGCAGATCCTTCACGCGCTCGATGAACTCCATGGCTTCTCGCTTGCTCTCATAGAACAGAGACGTGACTCTAGCAAAAGTGGAGCTCTCTGTATTCCATTTCTGAATAATCTCCGTCGCAGACTCGATTATGTCATCGATCGCCGGAGATTCAGAGCTTCGGCGAGGTATTGACTGAGAAAGGTTCTCCGGCGTTTTGGAGACGCAGCAGAGGCTTCTCATTGCTTTTCCTCGGCCCAAAAATTTGCTCGGATTTCGAGATTTTCTTCTGCAGACTCGAGAGAGAAGAAATCGCCGGAGAAATTTCGAAACGATGAACTCGTCGTCGCTATAATTGTAGAGGGGTAATGGAGTCGGCGGAGGGAAAGGGGGTACTTATAGACGGCGGGAAGACGACGCCATTACTGTAGGAAGAAAAAGAACGTGATGATGGACCTTTGACTTGGTGGATTTCCTTTTATCCTGGGCCTACACGTGTATCCCTCACAGTCTTTTTATTTTAGCCCATAATATTTTCTTGGAAATTATTATTTGATAAAAAACAATTTCATAGAAACTGTCGTAAGAATTTTTTAAAATCTTAGCTTCAAATTTCAATCTAGATTACGTCCTTATCAGACTTTTTAAAAGAATTATGTTAAATACCTAAGCTTGCGGAATAAGATTTGGAAATATCATTGTAATATCGAAATATAATGTAATTACTATAGGTTTTTATTTCGTTTAGGATATACAATGCAATTACCATACGTGGAACATATTCTGATTACATCATGGATTGCATACCTTAGATTCCTTCGTTGTTTTTCTTTTTTCGTTTAGGATACATAATTTAATTATTATATGCAGATTTGTTTGACCACATATGTATATATTAGATTATTTTAATAATTAGTCAAATTCAATTCCAAAAAATTGTTAGGAGTTTGAAAATACCAAACATTGATACGTGTTTGATGACTTGTGTCGTATGATAAGTTGTCGTGATCAGCAATCAACAACCTTATTACAACATCAATTACCCCAAAGAAACGAAAAACCCCCTATTACTATATATATATATATATATATAACTCTACACATTAACAGACTTTTTTTATATATCTGAATGAAAATCAACCTCCAATAAATTTATTCACATGTATTGTGTATATAACAGGGAGCTATTTGATTAACAAAACACACGAATAGTTAAAACTCATTAAAAATTCGATAAAAGAATGATGGTACAAAAACACAGTCCATCCCATTGTTAGTCTTCATTTTTATGGAAACATGTAATTTGGTACTTAAGTCATTTTAATATAGCGGTCTATTATTGTATAGCCTTTGTTTCGTTATAATAATGAAGCTGTATTTAACATATATGTCTGTGAAATAAGCAAATAGCACAAGTGGCTATTAATTAATTTCCTTTCCGTGGGGCCTTCGAATAATTGAACCGGGGGAGGCCATATTCAATAATGTCGTTGTGCACTTTGGTTCCGAAAAGAACTTTTTTGGTTGGGTTGACAGATTCTCAAGGTTGTAAGGAGTTCTATGCCTAAATAGATATTAAAACCTACAATTATGTATATATATATTCATTTTGAAAATTTGTAATCATAATTATAAAAAATCTTTAGACATTTGTCAATACTTTTTAATCGAAATTCTTATTTTGTTTTCCTTTCGTGATACACAAATTCATCTGTTTATTATTTTTTCAACGGCCAATCCGTACACGTAAAATGAAAATAAGTACATTCTTTTGAAATATTGGTTAATATAAATATATATATTCGTTGGGTTTGTACTTCTGACAACCAAACACGTGTATTACTGACAATCGAGATAGGAATAGACCGAAGCATATCATATTCAAATACAAAATTTAAAGCTTCAAAATTTGTTTCTTTGTTGATAATTGTTATTAGTTTTCACATTGTTAAGTTCGTACAAAACGACAAGCCTACAACTTTTGTTACCAACGAAAACGATGATCGAGTTAGTGTTCCATTATCAATGCATTTACGATAACAATACCAATGCATTTAACTTCAATTTTATCGAAATGAATTAACTAAGACAGCTGTTCCAACGTACGAAACTGGAAATTTTGCAAAATCCAACCGACTAATAATGTCCGAGTCTGACAAAAACATGAGAGAGAGAGAGAGAGTGACGAGAACATGTTTTCCATCGAATACTAAACGCATCAAAATGGGAAGTGGATTACACTTTGATTGCGTACTTCCTCAAGGGGAAGTACATATCTCTTTTCTTTTCTCGCTCCGTCCTCAATGATGCCTGCAACCAGGGCAATCGGGGCATAAGTTCATACGAATCCTCAAATACTAGGATTCAACAGCTATGAACGAAATCCGGAGTATATAAACTGTAAAACCTTTTATACATATGATAGCACGCCAAAACTTGTAAAACATTTCCAGATGATTTTCGGTTCTTCTCTGTCTTGCTCTATGTTTAACGACTTTTGGAACTCAAAAATTTAGATTTTCTCGGAGAAACTAAACAAGTTGGATCTTTGAATTCTACCTTATGAAAATCTCATGACAATCAGCATGCAATGCAACAAAAAAAAAGGCGGCACAGATATAGAAAACATAAGGGGACGGGAGTGAAGCGCAGACCTGGTGTTTAGTGAGGCGCCTCCTGATAGCACGGGTTTTCTTGGGACGAAGATCGAGAGGCAGAAACTTCTTGTTCTTGTATGCTTCTCTCAGAGCAGATTTTTGCTTCTGAGAAATCACTGTCAACACTTGTGCAATGGATTTCCTCACCACCTTGCTGGATATCAATGCCATATAATATGATTGAGAAGTGGATTGGAATTAGAAGCCGAAAATTTCCAAATTGGAAGTTTACAAGTTTGAATTAGCATAAACATGCATACAAACATCACATTAATGCTTCTTTTTTAGCATTCACATTTCAGCCCGAAACTACAATTGCATCAGGAGGAAGTGAATCAAAACCAAAGATAAAAGACAGTATATTTTAGAGCACACATTAAAACATGAGTAATTAAATCCATCAAAAGCAGGAAGTGCACTCGAATCTGGCATTCATGTCTGATCCAATATATTCAGAGTCAGAATAATCAACTACATCAGAAATTGTGAATGAATTCCACCTATAGCTTCCTATATAATAAGGAAGACAAATCGATACAAACATAAACTTCATTTCACCTGAAAATGCGTAGCTTAATCATCATAAGATCGAGGTTTCATGTTCGCTAAAAAGATGTCTACATTTCGGATTCAGAGAAAAAAAATCAGAAACAACAGCGATAAATCCAACCGTATTATATAATAGTACGGTACATATGTGTATACGAATCTGTGGAAGCAAATACGTACATTTTGGAGAGCTTGTTGGGAGCACCGCCGGTGACTTTGGCAACACGGAGGAGCGCGAGCTCCGCCTTGAGTTCCTTAAGCTGGTTTAGTAGATCGGTCTTCGACTTGTCTCTGAGCTCGTGAACCTTAATCCTCGCTAACAAAAAACCGAAAAATATAAGAGATCGAAACAGAGAAACATTTGCAAACAGAACATGAATCAGGTTAAGGATTTAGCGATCGGTTCTTCGTCCTCACCCATTGTGAGCCTCCTGGCGTTGAAGTGCTGTTGCCGCTGCTGCTCGTGTTGGCTCGGAGACGTCGAAAACCCTAAAATGGACGAAAAGGGAATTTATACAAAGTCTCGTAAATCCAGACGAAAGGAAAACCCTCTTTTTTGAGCCATTTAGCGGATTTAATGGGCTTTTAAAAAAGCCCAACTTATATGATGAACCGGGAATTTGTTCTCTGTCACCGGAAACCGGTTTACGCCCAATCATACCGGTTAAAGTTTATTTCATCATCATGGGTCTGATGATTACCATTTTATTGGACTATCTATAAGCGACGGCCCATAAGAAGCCCATATCACTTGCGCCTGCTGTTCAAGACAAGATCTAAACCGTAGATTATGTTATACCCATCGACGTACAGAAACTTGCCACCTCATCGATCCTCGTCAGGGTATCACCAACCACTAATAATCATTCCCACACCTATATAAATCCCGAACTTTATAGGTTTTTTCCTTGATCGATTTCTGTCGCACTCTCGTTGAACTGGCCAAGCACGCGGTGTCGGAAGGAGCCAAGGCAGTCAACAAGTTCACCAGTTCTTAGATAGTGAATTCATCTGACGATTTCTATTCTCTTGTGGGCAAATATTTTTACGTGGGATCGATTTCCCCATCTGGGAAATTCAAAATATGTAAGCGTTTTTGAATATTGATCCTTGTGATGATCCTATGTGTGATCGAATTCGAAAGGAACGATCTTTACGTGCAGAAGCACATATATTATATCGTGAAGATCAAAATTCTGTCAAGTTCCAACACTAGTACCCAACAAATCGGTGAACACCGAGTCTGAGATCACAATCAGAATCTGAACTTCAGATGTTTGTTAAGACAAGCAGAGAACTATGCAGCTGCATACAATGATAACACAAACTCCACATAAATGTTACTGTCTCTACAGAGCAAACATACACATTGGGTCGGTTGGTAGAGGTTTTTTTTTCAAGTTAACACAGAATGGTACTATGCCTTCTTAGGAGATTTGGCTGCCTTTGATGGCGGCGACTTGGTCTCCTTCACAGCAGCTGCAGTCTTTTCGGGTTTCTTTGGTAGGAGAACAGGGTTTATGTTGGGCAACACTCCTCCATGCGCAATTGTCACTCCTTGTAGAAGCCTCCCGAGTTCTTCGTCGTTCCTCACGGCTAGCAAAATGTGCCGTGGTATTATGCGGTTCTTCTTGTTGTCCCTTGCTGCGTTACCAGCGAGCTCTAGAACCTAACTGATCATTAGCATTGTAAGACAGTAGCAATCATTCAAAAGTTCCGGAATTCAAGAGGACAGCAACAAACAATGGACCGCATGAATTTGAAGAATGCGCAGTTGAGATTTCTATAAATCTATGCAATATGTTGATCTTATGGATCGCGCCAATATCAGGATTTCTAACTTGGTTGAGTAGCTGGCTAATGATCCTTCTTTCCTGATTACATGAATTTTATCCACATTTTATCAACTAGATTCTAATTCGGCTGTTTGGTTATCAAAGATCCTGAAATCTGATGAAACTCTGAGAGTCAACCATTCAGAGACATGATATGCATCATATTGTATCTGTGAACTCGAGTTAATATCTCGATTCTAAAATGGCGGGCAATCAATCTAAACATCATGCATACCCGAGAAAAAGTACGGATTTGTCGGAATCAGGCTCAAATTCACAGAGATTGTCTGGTTCCTATGAATACATTCGTGTGGATTACAACCTACATTACAGCCATTGTGCGGTTCCCGGGGAATAAATTTGTTAGCATTACATCCTAAAGTGCAGAGCTTGATTGGTTCCTGAGAAAATGAAAAATCTTTCGCCATACCGTTTGTTTGCCGAGAAAATCTACAACAACTAATCTACCATTCTAACAAGATCGAGCAAACCTAGAGCCCTTAAACTCTACATGAGTTCGAATGAAATAACCCTGAAGTTCCAACGACCAGAGAAGTGATCTGAAGCAAAGAGATGAGATAATTACCTCTGCAGCAAGATACTCGAGAACGGCGGCGAGATACACCGGAGCACCGGTTCCGACACGCTGCGAATACCGACCTTTCTTCAGATACCGACCGATCCTGCCGACCGGGAACTGAAGACCGGATTTGACCGATCGCGAAACCGGCTTTTTCTTCGGACCACCTCCTCTTCTTCCGCCCGCACCCTTCTTCAATTTTGCTCCAGCATCCATGGTTGTTGACTACGTCACAGAGGAAATGATCACTTTCCCGGGAAACAAACGGAAAATATTTGTGGGGATGAGATCTGGAGAGAACAAATTTTTTTTTTTTTTGGCGTTAGATATTTTGCGAACGAAGTTGGTTTTTCAGGTAAGGAATATCAGCCTTTAGATTAAAATTAATCGACGGTTAGAAGTTGATGATTTGGCGATCGTGAGGATGGATTTTATTCGATTTTTTGGAACCATCAAAGGATTTATTTATCATTCAATTTTTTTACTTAAAAAAAGAATGTAATATACATTTTCGGTGATTCTTTAATTATTTTTACATTAAATTAAGTTTAAAAAAATTATAACGAATATATTTTTTTCAGATTCAATTTGGAATCATGGAAACAATGTTATTTAGTTTCTGTTTATATACCGTGCAATTGGTTAAACACAGATTTTAAACCGTGGAAAAAGCCACAAGAAAAGAAAGAAGAGGATTTAAAAAAAAAAGGTTAGAGAAAAACAAATGTTCCCATAAAAAAATAATACAAACATGAAAATGAAATGCGCGGTTCAATGCACTTCGGCCCAAACCCATTAGACCTATAATCATAAGCTTACGGTTCAGATTCCACTCATGGAGGCCCCCTATTTATCTCACTGGTTGACCCATCAGTACAATTTAAAAGTTAATATTAGGAAAAACATTTAATAAGGATGTAATAAATAACCACTTAACATTTTTTATCAAAGATTTATCCCATACCTACGAATATTTTAAAGACTTAATTTAATCGTTTCGATAAAATATAATAAAGTCTTAAATCAAATTATGTCGTGATGTTTAGCATTTCTAGCGACGGGTTGGGTATGAGTCTTTTGTAGTCATTATTAGATTTTAATGATAAGCATTTTAACCATTTCATTTATGGAAAATTAAAACTAATCATTTCTATTTTTAGTAGAACCATTTTTTTAAAAAATAAATAAATTGATATAATATACAAGAGCTGAGCATGTAAGCATAAATGCGATAATAATTATATTCTTTTTTTTTGGTATAAAAAAATCTAAAGCCGAGGCTATATGATGTAAAATACTGTGTTGCTGACGTGGCGATATATGATTCGGTCGTCATCGAGTGCACGCTACGCGCCGCCGCATGATCATCCGTACTCAAGAGTCACGCCGCAAATAAAAGGGCCTCGATTTTTTGTGTTCGGTTTCTCTGCGAAGAGTTTCATTGTTCTCGCTAGATTCTCTCCGCTCCTCTCGATTGCAATCAATATTTGGGGAAAAAATGGTGAGTTCTTCTTCGCTTCTCTGCTCATCTTGCTTCTTCTTTTTTCTCGTTTTTGTTTTTTCCCCCACTTCTGTGCTGTTTGGTTACTGGGAAAATTGCGTCGGTTTCGCTCCTTCCTGGAAGATCCTTCGACGATCGGATGGAACGTTTCGTTTTACTCGCCTTATTTGCACGTCTTCTTAGTTTCCTGAGTTTTCTCTAGTTGTCGTTGCTTTCTGCTTGCAGCTGATTGGTTGCCGAGAAAATTCACCGGCTCATTTGCCGGGGATCTGGTTATGATTTTCTGCAAGATCACTTGGGAATCAAGTTGATTGTACTGTTTCACTTCTGTTTTCGGTAGATTCTGGCTATTGATGCGAGATCAGATTGATGGTGTTTAAGTGATCGTGATCGAAGTGAATTTCCATTCTCATTCTGATGTTGATTTGGTTTATCTGATTGTATATGGAAATATGCTCTCTATCCAGTGGTCGGTGATTCTAGCAGATTCAATGCTTCATTCGCAATGCTAAGTTTCATCATGAAACTATTGGTCTTATTTTGATTTTAGATGTTCCGAATTCAGAGTCAATGTTCACAGTAGTTTGATCGGCCAAAAAAAGTTTGAGATCTGATTTCCACAACGGTGTTGCGATTGTTTAACGCGAGCTCCAAGGACCATTTTCAAGAGAGAACTTGACGGGATCCAAGTAGAATTGCAGGCAACCGATCCAACAGAGATGGGCCTCGATGTCATCAAAAGCCGTGCCAATTAGCTCAAACCCACCTCATTTCTAAACGAAAAGAATGGAGGGCTTCCTTCAAAACACCGGGCAGGTATTCTCTGGTTTTCATGTTTTTTTCCCCATAAGCTGTCTATACCAAAAACCTATGAAACTGCTCTTTCCACCATTTTTGTCATTTTATATATGATATGTAGTTTCTGCTTCTGTTTTATCAGTACAACAACAGTTATGAAACACGAGTTGAGTTGTGAAGCTTCATCTGTTGTTGAACAATGTATGTTTGAATTGAAACTCAACTAGTGAAGATGTTCTTCTGTTCACATCTATTACAAATGTCATGCAATTTGGGTTTGTGGGGAACAAAGATACGTAGCAAATCATCAGATAAGGGAAAACAAGAGGTTACAGACTGTTTTAAACAGATTTGGAAACTGGGGGACAGTGGAGATTCTTGTCGGAAACTGAGTTGACAAGCTTGAGGCTGAAATCCCAAAGCTTATGGGCCAGAGATTCATCTCTTGCTAATTTGCTGGGAGTGACTTCATTGCAATCTGCAAAGTACTTTCCGGTCACTCCCTTCAGACTTGGATGCAATGCCACATAACATGTCGTCGCTGCCCCCTGCTCCGAAATCGGAATTAACAAATCTCTCTCTTTCTTTCTTTAATGTTAGAACCCGAAATCTTTATTCCTTTCATATGGATAGCATTTGAGTATATTGCATTAAAGGGTTATTGTCAAATTTTTTTGGTATGAATATGCATGTAGACTACGTACTTGCTTCATGTAAATTGTCACCATAGCTAAAAAGAAGATGGATTTTGATCGATCTATGATTCTGTCTAATCCTGCATTCTTTTTAAATCTGTTAAAGGGTTGCAGCCAGTTACCTGGGGTACAGTCTTCCACAAGAAGAAGCTGAAGAACTTTAGGAACCCTGCAAAACCATATAATATGAAAACACTCTTTGATGAAGTATTTTATGGCATATTTAAATCCAATAAAAAAAATTATATTTTCCAATAACCAAAAAAAATAAGCAAAAGCAAAAGCCGAAATCCATCATTATTTTATTTACATAGAAATAAAAACACTGTTCATAAAGTCAGAGGTTTGCTGGGTAATTTTTTTGCATATGCGCTTTCTTTCTTTAGAATATGCTTTTTTATTTTATTATTTGTAACGACATTTTAACTCTCCCATTGTAAGTTAGTTAGTTTCTAGTGATGCCACCTTCATTTTTTTTTTTATAACCGATCATCCTAGGTCAAAAGTTCACACTAATTTCAGGAGCAGAAGTCAACCACGTAATTTGAATTATACGTTCTTTCCCCAATTGGAGACTCAAACTTGAGGCAGAACAAACGTTTTGCGTCCCCGTTTCACTGGTTGAACTATCCAAATTAAGACACATTCGTTTTACTTTATAGCAATGTATTTTGCTTATTATTTTCATGTTTTTATTTAACAACCCCTATGGAAAATATAAAGTGCATTTCCCGCTAAGATTGTTACAATTATATTCGAAAATTTCACCTCATGTGTTAAATTAGATGAGCCATGTCACTATAATTAGGCATGTATAACACTCTTGTCTTTATTATGTTAGTTACCGAAACCAAAATAAAATGATTATAACAATTAATAACAACATCAAAAGGGCCGTGTGTTGGAAGAGATTGGTGAGGATGAGGCCTGGGTGCACCGAGTTCACTGTGATGTTCACTCCCTCTTCCTGCCAACACGTTTGCCATTTTAATCAGTGCTCCGATGTACATACATACATGCATGCATGATGCAAATATGCATGCATGCGTACATACATACATGTGTAAATATGTATATTAGAAGAAAATAAACTCTTATAATGCGAAGAGATTCTTTAAGACCCACCTGAAGTTGACGAGAGAGCTCATTGGCGTGCAGTATGTTAGCCAATTTGGACTGTCCGTAGGCTCTTTTATCCGAGTAGCTGTTATTCATATATCACACGAGGGGAACAAACACGGGACGTTTTTAATATTCGCGTGAAATTCAAGCTTTTGTTATTTATATGCCAAAATCTAGAAAATAAATGGAAAAAAAAAATAAAGAGAATTACCGAGAAATATCGTTAATATTGTCGAAGCAGATACCGTCGGGGTAAGTGTATATGTGCGCAATGGATGAGAGATTCACAATTCTTCCTTCAATGCCACTCTCTTTCGCTGTCGTCTTCATTTTCTCCATAAGCAAGTTTGTCACTAGAAAGTGACCTATACACACACGCGCGCATATTCAACAATTTCTGAATTATTTTTTTAAATCCTAGTCTCTAAGAAATAAAAATCAACGAATAATGATCATGTGGAAAAGAGAATAATGCTCTTGCCAATGTGGTTTGTAGCAAATTGCAGTTCTATTCCATCTTGAGAGAGCTGGAACGGGCAGAACATTATCCCCGCGTTGTTTCTGCAAACACAAACCCACGTGACATATTGTAAGAGAGGGAGGGAGGGAGGGAGGGAGAGATAGGGAGATTTGTTTACATGAGGAGGTGGAGAGGGAGGGAGAGAGAATCGAAGTCGCGGACAAAAGAAGTGATGGAAGCAAGGGAAGAGAGATCGAGCTTGAGGACATGGACACGTGCGGAGGAGTTGTGTTTCAGAATCTCCGTCTTGGCGGCTTCTGCAGCTCCCATGTTCCTGGCTCCAATTATGACACGTGCTCCTCTCTTCGCCAACACTCTCGCCGTCTCCAACCCTATTCCTCCCGATCCCCCTGTTTATACATTCATATGTGCATACACATGGTCAAATTTACATTCTATTTTTAGTGTGTGTATATATGGTAAAAAAACAATAAGATGGGGAGATTTTATTTCTACGTGCAGTCAAAGGACCACTCCCATTTAATTGGAACATGTTTTTGTCAGAAAGAGAGAGAGAAAGAGAATAATTGATCATATTATATATATATATATATATTTGTTTTTAAGCATATACATAAATATATGCGGGTATGCATATATGTGTGTATGTATATGGCATTTTTTCTGGAGAATTAAGCAAACTTAATTTTCGGATTTGCGACAAATTATTATAAGATAACACAGTATGTGTACGGACTGGGGAACTAGAATTAATATGCATGGAACTGAGCACCGTGTAAGAAAAAAAACATTTTTTTTAATAATTTAATTGAGTAACTGACGTTTGTCAGACAGAGCTTTGAACTAGAACCACGAAAAAAGTGTTAGTATCCGACATTAAATTAAATCCCTAAACCTAATTGCTCCATGGAACATTAAATTAACGTGACCTACCACCACGGAACCAATCCCCTCCCTCCTCGTACGTAAACACATCACATTTGCACACACACATATATACATATATACATATATATATATATATATATATATGTAGTACCTGTGATGATGGCTGTGAGATGAGAGGCATCAATCCCTTGGGTGACTTCTTCGGCGGTGGAAGCAGATCCAAATCCACTTGCTCCTCGCCTCCCTGTCACCAGTGAATATATCCCCATCTCTCTCTCTCTCTCTCTCTCTCCCAAGATTCACTTCCCAATTTTACAGACTCTCTCTCTCTCTATGTACACACACACACATATATATATATATGTATATATTCCCCCTCAGAATGCAGAGAATACAACAGGAGAGAAAGAAAGGGAAGAAGGGATTTGAAGAACGATATGCTGCATATTGAGAATCGTATTTATAAACGGGGGCCGAGTTGCATGAGAATTAATTAATGCGTTTTTATCATTGAATCCCCTAATGTAGTTACAGTGGACCGCTCCACGTACATTTATAAATATGCATCACACGCATACACACTCATGTATATACATATACATACACCCACTTGTATACAAATATACCATTCAGATACAGGTGCATCCACCTACTTGTTCACCGATCAACTCGCCTCTTGTTATAGTGGTGACCACAGTGATAAATTTGATATTTTTAACTCGCATAACATTTATTTTTTTATAATATCTTACCTGTTTTATTCTTATGGATATCTTAAATTTTTCAAAATTGTCGTATTTTAAAAATTCGTAATCAGTATAAATAAATAATATATTCTTAAAATATTTATAACAGACAATTTTAAAATTTGTTTACACGTTAATCTTAAATATATTTAAGAAATACTAAATAATTTAAAAATAATTATATATATATATATATATATATATAATGAATTAAGGGTCGGTGAGGAGGCGTTGGAGCCTCTTTCTCGTATTAAAATCTTTCAAAGTGCGTGAATTAACGAGAAGACCCCTAAAAGCGGGGGTAAAGTCGTCAGCGTTTAATTAATTAAATCAATTAATCCATTAGTGTGGTTTGTTTTTAAATTTGTATGTCATTGTTATATTTATTAGTTCGAATCTATGTTATCTCATGACATACTATATTTAATGAAATTTTAAAATTTTATTAATGATTACAATACAAACAATAACAATTGTTTTCAATAATTTAATTTATATATTTAAAATATCGACCTTGACAACTAATTTATAAATTCCAAAGTTCTCTAATTTTAAAAAAATCATGATCTAAAAACTTATTTATAGAAATATTATAATCTTTAAGATTTAAATGGTCTGCAAATCATTACGTTGCAAAAATAATAATCATACTGATTATTGTATTTTTATTTTGTCTGCGATATTTTTATAGGTTTGTTTAGTGGGTTTTGACCTCCCTGTAATTGATAAACAGTTAGTAGTTAGATGCACATGCCAAAAAAAATTATTTCTACAAAAAATACATTTTTATAATAATGATAAATTAACGGAGTAAAATAGATATAGAATTTTATTACAACATCAAAATGATTATGGTTTGTTTTGGGGCAATTTGTCTAAAATGATATTTTTTGGACTAAGTGTATGTTGCCTTTGTGATTTTATTTTGTGAACTAATAATCAGCCCAAGTTAACTTAAGGCCAATTTATTTTGTCATGTGAATGCATTTTTTTTGGATATATGTATTTAAAACGAAAAAAACGAATGATATAAAAAAATAGCGGTGGCTAAATAAATGTGTTATTTTCTTGGTATTTATTTATTTTCTTTTCCGTATTTTGAAGTCTCGGTATTTGAACAATGGATGCAATTATGGCTATGTGTGAAATTTTCAAAAGGGTCACGTGAAATGAGTATGGACATAAACTTTGGGTTTATCAATTTCGTAATTAAATTGTATAACGATGTGAACATATATATTGCTAGCCCATGCTCGTATAACCTATGTTCTCATTATTATTTCTAATATTACAAAACACACATATCACATTAAATACAAGAGAAATTCATGAAATTCAGGTACATGAACCTGTCTATTTGACAAATTTAAAGGGCAATATACATAGCCCCTACAAACAACAAATTAAACTCAGGGAGAGCAATGCTATATGGAAACTTACACCAAATAATATCCAAATTGAAAAAAAAAATCCAATGAAAGTATACTAAAATCCGATAATAAAAAAATGCATATAATACACAGCTTTTCCCTATAAATACACCAATTATTTATAACTTTTCGAAATTTAATAATAACAAGATTTCATTCTGCTTTCCTAGTCTTATGACTAACCATTTTTTAAAGTTTAACTTCGTGTTTCTTAATGTCCAATAATTAAGAAATACGTATATTTTTTTGTAACAGCAAATATTATTGAATGTTCCATATTTTTATACTGTAATTGTAATGAGAGTTTTTAACAAATTCATACTCATGGAATTTTATGTACTTTTTCCAAAAAAAAATAATCAAAATTTGAAACACAATCTTTCGAATACCAAAAATATTATAGATGCATAGGGACGGATTTGTCAGTTTCTATTGTACTGATCTCAATATAATATTTTTTTAAATTGTTGTACCGGTTTGCAAAATAGTTTTCGACCCAAAACCGGATTTGATCCTATACAAGCCTATATAGCTCAAGGCCCATATTAGATGTCCGAAATCATCTATTTTTTAAAAAGGCTTTCTATGTTTTTACAAGACATATATAGCTTAAGGGCCCGAGAGGAAACAAGAGCGAAAAAAGAGGGTGAAGTTTTAAAACCAGGGGGGGGGGGATTTTTGATCATTAATAAAACTTTTGGGGCCAAAAACAGTTGTTTCTTAGTTTTCGTGGCACTTCCGAAATTATCCATAGTTATAAACTACATTAGTGTCGCGTTGAAAAGAGTTTTTGGAGTCATTCCCTTCATTTCCTCGCATCTAGCGAAACCCTAGCTCCTCTTCATCGTCGTCAATCTCTCTCTCTCCCTCTCCCTCTCCCTCTCCCTCTCCGATCTCAGACGCAGAGAAGATCCGGCGAAGATGTCGAGTGCTTTGGACATGTCACTTGACGATATCATCAAGTCTAACAGGAAGCCCGCCGGGTCTCGTGGTGGCCGCGGCGGTGGCGAAGGCGTAGGCCGCGGATCCGGTGGTCCTGGTCCCGCTCGCCGTTTTTCTAACCGTATAGGAAACCGAGCGGCACCGTACTCAAGGGTCAGCAATCGATTTTTCCTCATCTCATCTTCCTCCCAGAACAGAGATTTTTAGGGTTTTCTGTTGGTTGTGCAAAAAAAAAAAAGTTGAGATTCGTAGGACTTTTCCGTCGGTTGTGAAAAAAGTTGAGATCTCTTTTCGTTTCTTCTTCTTCTTTGACGAACAACAGCCGGTACAAGCTCCAGATTCGGCGTGGCAACACGACATGTTTGCGGCTGACACAGCGATGACTGCGGGCTTCGGGGCCCGTCCTACGGGCGGAGCCTCGTCGATTGAGACTGGGTCTAAGCTCTACATTTCCAATTTAGATTACGGAGTTTCCAACGAAGATATTAAGGTCAGCTTCGTTTTACAGTTTCTTCAATGATGTCAAGGATAGAATGTCACGTTTCTGTTGTTTGCGTCTAATTGTTTATTTCATTTTAGTATAAGTCACAAGGATGGAAGAGTAATTGGTTTCAGACAGGGTATTGGTGTTCTTTGCCAATAGATTTAGAACAAAACTAAAACTTTAATTTGTCTAAATGCCTACGTAGTTGTGGGTTCTCAGATTAGGTCTGTCTGAATCAAGCTTATGTGGGTTCAAACCATGCTTTTTGTAAAGAATGTGAAGTGTTGTCCTGGAATTGGTCCCACATACTGTTGTATCGCCATTTTGCTCCCCCCCCTTTTATTCCGTTTAGTTTTTGGTTTTCAATTAGGGTATTTGCCTTGCTTCCCCATGCGAGTCTTGTCTCTTCAAATATCCTGTTTGAAATTTGAGTACTTTTTAACTCAGTAATTGGAGGATGCCTGTGTGTGGGATTTACCAGTGCAATATCTGCGTTTTTCTAATCGCAAATTTTTTTTATGTTTGTAGGAGCTCTTCGCAGAAGTTGGTGACATGAAACGATACGGCATTCATTATGATAGGAGTGGTAGATCGAAGGTACTTGTGAAATTTATGTCATGCTACCAGGCCCTAATATCAAAAAGCCTTATCCTAACTAAGCAATAAACCATTCTCTCAGGGTACAGCTGAAGTCGTCTTTTCCAGGCGAGTTGATGCAATGGCTGCTGTAAAGAGGTACAACAATGTTCAACTGGATGGCAAGCCTATGAAGATTGAGATAGTTGGGACAAATCTCTCTGTGCCTGCTCCACCTCCTTTACCTTCAAACGGGATGTTTGGAAACATAAGTGGTGTTCCCAGAAGGTCGGTATTGATTGACCTAGGTGCCCTACATACTAGTAATCAAGTGATTTAATTTGCGTGATTTCTTACATGGCAGTTCATGATATGATTTTCTGGGGCAGCACACAGATTGGTTACCAGTTTTTCTAATGTTTGATGAATAATTGTGATGTGATCACTTCCATTTTTGGCCTGGTTTAGCTATTGATTTGTTGAGTATCTATTACATATGTATAAGAACACAAACAGATGCCTAAAATCTGAGGGGTTTCTCCGGATAGATGCCTATAGTTTTGGTTGTTTAAATAGCAATCATGAATGATAATATGCGTTTTGGTATAGTTAGCTAAGCTTATATGTTGATCAAAGTGTATACTTGAACTTGTTGGTCATGCCAACTCATACGATGATTTGTTAACAGAGGCAGAGGCAGAGGCGGTTTCGTGGGACGGCCACGTGGTGGTGTCGGGGGTGGTAGGGGAGGTCGTGGCCGTGGGAGAGGTAGAGGGCGAGATGAAAAGATATCGGCAGAGGATCTTGATGCTGACTTGGATAATTACCACAAAGGGGCCATGGAAACTGAAGGGGGAAACTAAAAGTCCCCCTTTGCATTTTGAACTTATTTTCTCCGGCTTCCATCATATGCATTGATGTTATTTGTCGTTTGTATTGTGTGTCATCTGGCTCTGGTTTTGATTTCTGGGATTAGGGTTTTGGAGGGTGAGTAAGAGAACAGAACTGTTGTTGTGTGTGTACTGTCATGGGACTTGGTTTTAGGGCATCAGTAAAAGAAGCGTTGTTTAGAAATCCTTTTAAGAATGAAGTTTCGTGTTGTTGTGATTGGTAAGTTGAGAACTTGGTTGTATATCTGGTAACAAAGTGGATGTTGTTTAGTGGTTAGAATTCCACGTTGTGGCCGCAGAGGTCTGGGCTCGAATCCCAGCAGCCACACGTTTCTTTAGGCTGCAATTGTTTTCCTCTTTCAAACTGAAACCAAACCTTCGGCTTACCACTTTGTTATGGCTGATGATGGGCCTTTGATTTCCATTTATACGGGCCGATCAATATCATTTATATGGAGCCCATCAAATCGCTCACAGATCCATCCCATGTGGCATGTTCTACCTCACAGCCAATGACCGACTCTGGACGTCCACTTGCAAGTGGGACCCACTCTTCGACGGAAGCTTTCGTGGAGAACCGTGAATGAACCATCACGCGCTTTTTAAATTTAAAAAAAATGGAAACTTTTGCCTAGTAATCGATACGAGGCCGTCAGATTAATCTTGAAAAATCGGACGGTTATAAATTAACCTGCAGAACATTCTCGAACCTTGATGTATCGACTCTATATAAGATCCTCTTCACCACAATTCCGGGAAAACCCTAGCCGCTCGATCTTTTTACTTTTGTTGTTTTCGTTTACAGTCGTTTTTTGGTAGCTTAGCTTCGTCGTTGATAACAATGGCCGGCAAGGGAGAAGGTCCCGCGATCGGAATCGATCTCGGTACGACGTACTCTTGCGTCGGAGTATGGCAGCATGACCGTGTTGAGATCATTGCTAATGACCAGGGTAACAGGACTACGCCGTCGTATGTTGGTTTCACCGATTCCGAGCGTCTGATCGGTGATGCCGCTAAGAACCAGGTTGCCATGAACCCCATCAACACAGTTTTCGGTACGATATGCTTCTAATCTTTAGATTTTCGATGTTTAAGTTGAATCTCTCACATCTATGTTGGATTACGAATAGATCTGTTCGGATGTGAACTGTTTTAGATCATGTAGAGTTTGATTTCTGGGCTTCCTTGTTTACATCCGATGGGTTAGAGTGCGAGTTATTGACGTCGATTTCTGGGCTTCCTTACTTCCGTGTTAAGTGTTCGTGTAGTTTGAGTTAAGAATTTGCGGGCATATCTTGTGGTCAGTTCTTTGTTAGTCCTCGTCAGAAATTGTAGAGATGAGTAGTTCATTTGTTGTCGGTTTGGCGGGTTTCTGAGGTTTTGGCAACTTCAGAAAGATAAGTCAGCTTTTGCAGTTTGTGTGATTTGTCTGTTTAGATTCTGGTTTGATTCATCCGTTAAATGCTTTTACTTTTCCATGTGACAGATGCCAAGAGGTTGATTGGTCGTCGATTCAGCGACTCATCGGTCCAAAGCGACATCAAGCTATGGCCGTTCAAAGTTATTCCTGGACCTGGTGACAAACCCATGATCGTTGTCAACTACAAGGGCGAAGAGAAGCAATTCGCCGCTGAGGAGATTTCTTCAATGGTCCTCATTAAGATGCGTGAGATTGCTGAGGCCTACCTCGGCACCACCATCAAGAACGCTGTTGTCACTGTCCCAGCTTACTTCAACGATTCCCAACGTCAAGCCACAAAGGACGCTGGTGTCATTGCTGGTCTGAATGTGATGCGTATCATCAACGAGCCTACTGCTGCTGCTATTGCCTATGGTCTCGACAAGAAAGCTACCAGTGTCGGCGAGAAGAACGTCTTGATCTTCGATCTTGGTGGTGGTACCTTTGATGTCTCTCTTCTCACCATTGAGGAGGGTATTTTCGAGGTGAAAGCCACTGCCGGGGACACCCATCTCGGCGGTGAAGATTTCGATAACAGAATGGTCAACCACTTTGTCCAGGAATTCAAGAGAAAGAACAAGAAGGACATCAGCGGCAACCCTAGAGCTCTCAGGAGATTGAGAACAGCCTGTGAGAGGGCAAAGAGGACTCTTTCATCGACTGCCCAGACCACGATTGAGATTGATTCCTTGTATGAGGGTATCGATTTCTACTCACCCATCACCCGTGCGAGGTTTGAGGAGCTGAACATGGACCTCTTCAGGAAGTGCATGGAGCCAGTCGAGAAGTGCCTTCGTGATGCCAAGATGGACAAAAGCTCTGTCCATGATGCCGTCCTTGTCGGTGGATCCACCCGTATCCCCAAGGTTCAGGTCGACAGTT